TACAAAGACACAAAAACTGCGAATGTCTCAGACTCAAATGAGAAGGTGGCAGTACAGCTTTTCCCACTCTTTTGTTGTTCTAGCCGTTGCAATTTTAAGTACAAACTTTAACATAGAAAGACACAAAAATTGCTAATGTCTCAGACTCAAATGAGAAGGTGTGTTGTTGTTATGTGCCTATGTAGTGTCAAGTCCACTCCAACTTAGGGTGAGTCTATGAATGAACCATCTCCAAAATGTCCTGTTCTCAACAGCCCTGCTCAACTCTTGTAAACTCAAGCTGGTGGCTTCCTTGTATTTGGTCTTCCTCTTTTCCTGCACCTTCTGCCTTTCCCAGCATTATTTTTTCCAGAGAATCCTATGTACCCAAAGTAGGACAGCCTCAGTTTCAACATTTTTTTGCTTCCACACACACTCACCTTGATGAACAGGATTGGAGATGGGCATGAACGGCCAAACCAGTGGTTAATGCTGGTTCATTTTTTTTTTAGCCAAACAGGTGTTCAGCACTTCCCAGCTCCACCTCCTCTGGCCGGCACCCACTCAGAGGCAGCGCCCTGGCTTCGCCTTCTGCGGCCACTGCCTCTGAGTGGGCGCCCAGCCGAGGTGTTGTGGCTGGGAAGCACCAAACACCTGTTCAGCCGAAAAATGAACTGGCAGGAGCTCTAGACAGGATCTTAAAGCCAGTCTTTTTTTGTTTAGCTCCTGTCTCCCTCTGGTGGTGAGGACAACCCAGAAATTCAATTTCACCTCCAGGCCTCAATCTTGATAAGCTAAAATTAAAATGGAACAGGTAATAGTAAAATCATAGAATCATGGAGCTTGAAGGGGCACACAAAGCCACGGAGTCCAACCCCCTGCCCAGTGCATGAACTCAAATCAAAGTATATCTGACAAAATATTGGCCCAGGGGAACACATAGCGGTCTCTTCCCTTTTAGATCCAAATGCAATCAAACAAACTACCTCAACAGCACCTGCTACCAACCATAACTGGATGGGGAAGGATAGTCTTCTCCCCCTGTATAAAAAGAACATTTCATGGTAAGTGTAAATGTTACATCTCCCTACAGGAGGGAATAGGATATCCTTAGAGTGGGACCTACCAAAGCTCTGTCTCAGAGTGGGCTCAGATGCTGTTCTCAGGCTAACAACAGCCCTTGGCAAGGCCTTCTCCCCTTTTGAAGGACCACCTGCTAAGAGAACCTTAGATCCAAAGATAACCTTTGTAGAGGCAAAGAAATAAATGCTATAGAGCCACATGGAAGAGGACTGCACATTCCAAGTGGCAACCCTACATATACCCAACAGCAGAGTCAGTGTGGCAAATGCCACTGAGGTGGTAGCATTTCATATAGGATGAGCAATGATACCTTTAGAAACCATTTTACCCAAAGCCTTTTAGCAAATGGACATACAGGCTTCAATGCACCTGGCTAAAGTTTGCTTAGATACCTTTTTCCCTATGTTCCTAGACTGAAGAGAAAGCAGTCAGAAAAACAATAAATTGCTGTTTCATTACAGGTACATTTTAATGAGCTGACATGTCCCCATATATTGAAATTGGAGGAACTGACAGTGAAGAAACAGACCTCTGTAGGTCACAGAAGCTAACCAATCGTTGCCCGAACAGCTTTTACCATGGTCTGAAGGACATTTGCAGAAATTTTCGTGTATTTTACATACTGAAACATCTTTTGGTGGGGGTAGGGGAATGAGGAAAGAAACTGCAAACTCTATTTGCTGAAGGTGGGTAGCAGCCTGTGTTTTCTGTAGCCTATGCATTTGTGACAATTCTCCTTAAAGATCAGAAGTAATTAAAAGTGTCATTGCTTTTCATCAGTAAAATGGTGTCATCTGCATTTCTTATATTACTGATGTTTCTTCCATCAGTTTTCGCTCTCATCTGAATTGTCTCGTTTTCCATATGCTGTATGTGTGTATGGACTGAACAGATGAGGAAATAAAATCCACCCTTGTCTGACACCTTTGCCTATAGGAAATCATTCTATCACTATATATTCTGCCCTAGTGGTAATTTCTTATCTACAATACAAATTACACATGAGGACAATGAAGTACTGAAGCACACCAATTTATTTCAGAACTATCCATAGCTTCTCATGATCCACACAGCCAATGGTTTTGCTCTATTCGATAAAGCTTAGAATGATCTTCTTCTGAAATTCTTTGGTACACTCCATTACCCAGCAGATATTTGCAATATGCCCTTGAGTGCCTCTTCCTTTTCAGATTCAACTTGAACATCAGGCACTTGTCGCTCCATATAAGGCAAAAAGCCTTTGTTGCAACACCTTGAACATCACTTTGTTTGCATGGGGAATTAAAGCAATGATCCTATAGTTCCTGCACTCCTTGGTATCTCCTTTCTTGGGGACTGGAAACTGATAGTATTGGTCATGAAATGTGTGTTTTGCTGTAAAGTTCTATAGAAGCTGATCTCATTAATTCTAAAGCATCTTTCAGTAGCTGAGAACAGAACTGGCAACTTGTTTCATTAATTCATAGTTGGTTGTTCCTATATGAATGATCAGTGAGTGCAAATCGTAATACCTGTGGGTACTGTAATATTTTGTCACATAGCTTGTCACACTCACACCATTGATTCATTCTGACAACATTAATACTCTAGAATTTGCCTTTATTGTTTCTCATTAGGGTAAGTAAATAGCATCTCCCAGAGTGAGTTAATATGGTACAGTTGGTGAAATGAATAATGTATGTAGAACTGCTTCCATTGTGACTTTATTTGGATTGCAGATATCTATCAATCAGCTTTGCAATATTGACACAGTGGTTTAAAACAATCAATCCTCTGCTCTTGTTTAGCTTCTACACATCTGTATAAAAATAAATAGTTTTGATGATCTTTTATTGCAAGTAAAATATGTACAGTAGCTGTAAAATGGAATAAGAAACCAGTTAGCACAGCCAGACCTACCATTAAGCATGTTGAAGAAGTCACCTCAGGCAATTTTAAAGTGTGTTTAAAAGAAAGAAATTTGTTTGTTATCAATTCACTATTTTTGTTTTCTGAGTCGGAGCTACTTGTGAGATTCTCTGTCTTAGATGTGAAAGTAATTTGCCTTGGGTACTGTGCTTCTTATTGGCAGAGGGAGGGAGGAGTGCCATTTGCTGCTTTCCCTCGGACAGTAAAATGCCTTGGATTAGCCCTGCCAATAACCAACTTCTTTATCTTACTAATACAGTATTAGTTTGTCAAAACTGAAGGGGGTACCAAATGTGTCTTTTCTCCCCATCAGTCACAAAGTGGAACAGGTTATTCAGCAGCAAAAAAAGCCCTACTATGACTTTCAACTTGCTATTTCCCTCAAAATAATTAGGTGCTGACACACAAAATTGTTCACCTGAACCATGCGGACAGCGAGTAAGATCTATTACTGTCCTGGCAAAAATCATTATTAATACTGTATAACCAATGTTTATCACCTCCTGCTCCATATACCCGTCACTTTTCCTCTCTCTTTACCCTTGAATGCTTTTTGAGTGTTCTTAATGATGTAAGCTGTCTTGTGTCCTTTTAAGGAGAAAGGTAGGGTAAAATATTTTAAATAAATAGAAAACACTTTTGAGGAATTAGCTCTAGTTTCTTCTCAATCACAAGCAAGCATGAGACACAAAGAAGACTTCTTACCTTTGGTTTTAGCCTCACTTTGGTTGCAGGTCAAGACAGGCTCTTGTGATTGGGGTGGGGGTATGAAGTGGGTGGGGATGAGCAACACACCCTAGAGTTGGACAGGACCGGATTAAATGTCAATGGGAACCTTTCCCTTTCCCTATGGAGTAGGCAACTTAGTCCAAGTTTCAGGGACTTAAGAGGAGAGGCCAGAATCTAGCGAGGAGAAGCCACCATAAGCTCTTTGGAGAAAAGCTGGGAGATACAGTATATGGAATAAGAGAGGCAATATATGCAGAGATTAGACTAGGATTTCGAAACCCAGTTTCCCTTCCACTGAAATATATATTACAAACACATCACTATAAGAGAAGATTCTTTTTAGAACATATCATTCTCACAGCAGGAACTTTTCACACCTCCCCCAGTTTGCAAATTAGTTAATAATGCTGCTGAATTTCAGCTCCTAATGGCATCTTATCTGCAATACAGTTTGCCCCTTAGATATGAATCTCGCTGGAAAATTCTCTGTAATGAATGTTGTCAAATAGTTAATTGTCCTTAATTATTTCCATCTCTATAATTCTATGTCTTTGATGTTGCCTTTATTGTTCCATTTTCATCTCTCTTCTATCGCCTGTAATATTTCTTCTCTTATTGACTTGACATTTTTATTTACATTTCCACATTTCAGGTTGCTGTTGGTCGGAACTATAAGGCCTTTATTGACTTAAGAGCAAGGAGCTTTGACATCAGAACCATTTTACTGGGCACTCTTTTTTTTTATGCCCTCATGAATCCTCTCCTTAACAATATATGTACTTCACAGTTGTTTTAAGTATGTACTTTTCCGGTTTATTAATGTTTTCTTTAACGAGAGACAAACTACAGTGATGACAGGATTACGATCCCGTTGACTTCAATGAAACTCGCACGTAAGTGGGCACAGGGCTTGGTAATTTATACCACATACCCAGCCGGGATCAAGATCTGGCTGTTTTTTATATTATATTAACTGGGTTGCTTCCTAGTAAACTCGCACACGAATGGACTGCAGCTCCCGTACTTGTGAGGCTTAAAGGCGCTTTTCCCACCACGACTGAGGTTTGCGATGCGATCTTTGGGGAAGCGCGTTGTCCTAATGATTCCGAGCTGACACTGTCCTGCTTTGCCGCCCAGTGGATCGGGCGCAGGGCACCCCAAAGGAAGGAGGAGATCTCGGCTGGGGAGACACCCCTCGCCCACACCCCGCCGCTCTCCAGGGCGCCGTTACGATCACTGCCGCAATGGACCGCGCTCGTCTGTAGATGGCGCTGTGGCGGATAAGGTCGCGATCTGCAAAACGCGAAAGGAGCTTGTCCCGCCTCGCGCCCCGTCGTTGCCGGAACGGCCTTTAAGCTGACGTGTGTATGTGAACTCTGAAGCCTTCCTCTGAACACGCCCACTTCTAATACCCGCCGCTTCTCCCTCTCCGGACCTGAGGCGACTATGGCTGCCACATGGGAAGAGATCCTTAAACTGTCCCAGCAGTTCCAATCTGCCCAGTTCGCCCAGGCGACGCAGAGGTGAGGGGGTGGGGGAGATACGAGAGAGGGAAGCGAAGGGGGCGGAGCTACGCGCGAGCCCCTCGCGGAATGGCTGCGCGTCGCGCGCGCGCCCCTGTCTTTGAGGCGCGTGGGCTCAAAAGGGGCCTCTTCACCTTTCGGTCCCGGGGGTGGGTGGGTTCTTTATGCTCCTCGCTGCCCGTAATGCCTGGATGAGCAGCGCACTTCTTTTTCGTCTTCAAGAGAACGGGGAGTCTGTGTCTGTGTGTGCGCCTCTTTCTCTCTTTCCGATCATCCATACCGTAATACCCTTAAATAGAGTGGCCTGTTATAGGAAATGGGTTTGGCATCTCCTCTGCATTTGACACTCACCCGATCTGTAGCAAACCAGTGGGTGAAGCTGTTGAGGCAATAATGATGGTGAAAGCCCCGCCCCAGAGCGCTGACCCGAACGAATGCTCTGGCCCATGGTATGGAAAGCCATTGAAAGGCCCAGAAAAACTTAACAGGGACATACTCTCCCCAGCTTCTGGCATAGGCAGGCCTTGAAAAATGCACTCGTCTGTAACAAGTGCAAAATGCTGAACAAGTCACAGCTCCCTCCCTGCCTGCCTCTTTCCCCTCCACCTCTCTCTCTCTCATCCTGCAGTCTTCCCCTCCGCTTTCCATTGCAAAAGGAAAACTGCCCTCTTTGAGAGAAGAGAGTTTGAGTGGTACATAGGGATATAGCTCTGCAGGAGAATGTAGAGTATCCCATGCTGGAGAATATGGGAATTCCCTGCTCCCAATTTCAACCTCCCATGCTGGAGAATATGGGAATTCCCTGCCCTCAATTTCAACCTAACCAGGACAAATCTTGGGGTGGGAGGGAACAGTGGCTCCTTAAGAGGCCGGGTGCTTTTGGTTTCAGTTTTATTTTTGCTGGAGACATTCAAATGAAAAGCATTCAAAATACAAACTTCATGACCCCACAGGAATGCAGGTAATAAAGCAACCCAAGTCTGAGGGTATAAATCAGTGATCCCCAATCCCAGTAAATTGCAAGGCTATAGTCATGCTGACTGGTGAAATTTTTGATTGGCTGGTGAGACATTCTAAAAATTTTCAAGCCCTGGGCATAGATCGCCCTTCCAGCAAAGCAATCAAAGCCATTACTGCTGTAACCAAGGCTTGAAACTGTATTTCATTGAATTGTTCAAGAGAATCTGCCTGACCCAGGAACTCACAGACCTGAGAAGATACCACACACACACTGGTACCTTGCCTCAGGGTTGGAGACTGGCTGTGATTACCCAATATGGGAGGATCCAGAGAGGGCTTCTTAAGCCAAGGTCTTCACCACCATCTCTTTTAGACAGGCTGGGATCCTGCCTAGAGGTAAAGAGTCCATTATTGCATCTCCCTTGGACTTGGCCTGACCTTCCTTTGCTTGATTTGTAAATCAAGAACGACTAGGATGTAGCACACATGCCATAGCTTCATTCCTCCAGGCATCTAGTCCACATTCCCCCTCTCTTTCTTTCTTTCCTTCCTCCCTCCCTCCTTCCTTTGTTTCTTTCTTTCTTTGAACCAGATTGTAATCAGAAAATAATGAAGTGGGGGTGATCCTAAAAGGCCATGGAGTCCAACCTCCTGCTCAATGCAGGAATCCGTAGCAAAGTATATCTAACAGATGGTGCTCTGATTTTCTCTTGAATGCCTCCAATGTGTTGATTCCATTATTGTGCTGCTTAATAAGCTCTCAGCCTCTTGAAAAAAAATCTTCTGGGGATCCCAAGAATTCAGCAAGACAGTGGTCTTCCAGGAGGCTGTAGCAATCAGTTCAATTGTTCAAAACAATCTATTGTTCCAATTAATAATCGTTTTCAGGGTGGCAGCCAAAATGGTTGAAATTGTGCGGCATATTGAGAAATGTGAGATGTTATATTTTTTCAAGTCCTCATATTCTACTGTAGAAGAACTTGGAATCAGCATTAAACTTACAGTTCTAGGTGTTTGTTTTGATGTTCAGGTGGTATGCAACACTTTGGAGAGGAGGCAGACAAAAAGTAATAGCTCCAAATCTGATGTAATAGCTTTAAGTTCTTGAACGTAGCCATGATATTTGCAATTTTATTTATTTATTTGTTTGTTTGTTTGTTTGTTTTATTATATTTTATTTATTTATATCCCGCCTATCTGGCCTTGCAACCACTCTAGGTGGCTTCCAAATAAATAAAAACAACATCTAAATGTAACAAAAAAAGAAGAGAAATTTTAGATCAATAAACAGATTGATTCTTCAAGATGGAAAAAAGTAAGGAAAGTAAATGAAAAAGGGAGTTAGGTGTTTATATAAGATATGATTAATTCTGTATCTCATAGACCATGTTGTTGAATCTACAATGAATTCATGTCATAATAATAATTCTGTGCCATCCAAATTGATTCCAACCTCCAAAGTTCTCTAGGTATAGATGACTTTAGGAGTGATTTACAATTTTCTTCTTCTGGGGTTGCTCTGGGACTGTGCAGATTGTCCAGTGGGATATCAAACTCCCAACCCTCAGCTCTTGCTGCCAAGCGTCTAACTCACTGACCTAGCCAATCAGCAGATTGAACCAGTTCTTTTAACTAAAATAACATGCCTATCATCACAATTATTGATTAGAATCCCTACTTACCATATTTTTCTGTGTATAAGATGATACTTTTCTCTAAAATATTTAGATTAAAAATTGAGGTTCATCTTATAGACAGAATAAAGGGGGAGGGATCAAGGTGCTTTGATTCCTGGTTTCCCCCTCCATTATTTTTTGTGAGGAAAGCAGCGATCAAAGGGCTGCAGGATCCCTTTGATCACTGCTTTTCCCACCACTTCCTAAGCTCCTTAGCAAAAGGAGGGGGAAAGCAGCAATCAAAGGTATCGCTGCTTTCCTTTGATCCATGCTTTCCCCCTCCTTTGGCTAAGCCCCGGGCTTAGGAAGTGTTGGAGAAAGCAGCAATAAAATTTTCTAATTTGGGGTTAGAAAAGTGGGGGTCATCTTATACATCTTATATACTGTCTTATACACAGAAAAATATGGTAACTTGTAAGCAGGGGGAAAGAGTGCATGGGGCTGGGTCCTGCTTACAGTTGCATTGAATGTTTCAAGAGCTTTTGCATGCATCCTTGAACTGTCAGGACTGGACGTATTTAGCCTTGAGAAAAGAAGACTGAGGGAAAGTATGGTAGTACTTTTCAAATACTTGAAAGGTAGTCGTACAGAGGAGGGGCAGAATCTGTTCTTGATCATCCCAGAGTGCAGGACACATAATAATAGACACAAGTTACAAGAAGCCAGATTTCAGCTGAATATCATGAAAAAGTTCTTTTAGAGCAGTATGACAGTGGAACCAATTACCTTGGGAGGTGGTGAACACTCCAGTGCTGGAGGCATTCAAGACAAAATTGGACAACTACCGGTATCTATCAGATCTACTTTACTTTGGATTCCTGCATTGGATTCGATGGCCTTATACGCCCCTTTCAACTCAATTATTCTATTATTCTATGGCCATTGTCTTAAGTACATTTGTGGAATATAGATAGACTGCTAAAGATTCTCCAGATTGCATTAGTAGCAATCTGTTTGTCTGTTTAAAACAACATTCCCAAGATTTCACACGGTGTGTTTTGGTGGTTTTCTATCTGTGCAGACTGTCGGAACGTAATTGCATAGAGATTGTTTCTAAGTTAATTGCTGAAAAACAGCTGGAAGTAGTGCATACCCTTGATGGAAAAGAATATATAACTCCTGCACAGATTAGCAGGGAGATACGTGATGAACTTCATGTTCGTGGTGGTAAGTATATATAAATATATTTTAAAGAAGTTAGATTTAAAAGTCAACATGCAGAGAATGAAAGATTGAGAACTAATTTTCTCTTGAAAAATCACATGGCTTGGAAACATGCTTCTCTCACCAAGGCATGTAAAAATCATAATTCTAGTTTTATGATGTCATAGTGAAGCATTTCATAGTACATGTTGTGAATGGGTTCCCTAAAGCCCAGTTTCTAGTAGAACTACTGTATGTCTTTGTAAATATATCAAAGCTGGGAGTAGGGTTGAGTTCTACAAGTCTGAAATCATAGATATGATTTAGGAGTGTGGCATTTGGCATGATGAAAAGGGCACTCCAGTGCAACATCTAGCATTATCTATAATGCTAGGCATGATTTACCTTGTGTATAAGATTGCATCTTATATCTATTTACTGTAAAGCCCTACTAAAGGTAAGGCTTTTTTCCCTGAAATTGGGTAACAAAGTGCATAATAGTTAGTGCTGAACCTGGAACACTCAATGTTTATTTGCTGTGTAAAAGGAACTGAAACAGAGTTTCTGTAAGATTTTATAGGGGATTGTGAATAAAGTTTGATACATATCCCATGAGGGTTTTGTTGTTGTTAGAACAATTGATTTAAATTCAGTGGAGACAGGGTTTGTTAGTTCACCAGTAAGAATCTAGAGGTATGATCTGAAAGGTGCAAAAATACCAAATTCTATACTGTATCTGTAAAAATGCATGGAGGGCTCAGTTCATGGCAGTCTTTGGGGAAAGAGTTGTTAAAAAGATACATTACTGAAATATTTCTGTTGAAAACCAGTTCCTCAGAAGCTGCAATTAGCTGAAGAACACACATTACTGGTTTCGCAATTCTGAAATAATCAAACTCTTGAGATATATTTAAGCAATAATTTGTAAGCAGTTTTCTTTCGCACAAACATCTGTTCACATCACATGGTGCAGCAATAACATTAATGGCCATCAAGGAACAAAGCAAAGGTCTGGCTTCTTTAGGTGTTCATTATAAACATTGTTTTCATGCTTGTAGCCACTGTAGATTGTATAGTCCCAAGAAGAAAGCAGTATCCACCAGCTGGTCTTGTCAGTAGAAATCTTGTCCTTTTCCCATGATCAAGGAACACCCCCACATAGTACGATTGGGGCAGGCCTTGGTGTGCATTGTGATATATGCACAGAGCACTTCTGCAAGTAGACTTCCCAGTTCATTTCTGGAGGAAGAGAAGAATCATTGGACACATATTTCTTAACATCAGTGCTGTATGTAACACTTCCCAGTTCATTTCTGGAGGAAGACAAGAATCATTGGACACATATTCCCCCCCCTTCATTGAATTTTCAATTCTTCACTGAACTAAATTGAAATGTCCATTTAGATACTTCTTTATGCACACCTGTAAGATACTACTGGGGGAGTAGCAAATGTTGCTTTCTTTACTGTTTGTGATGATGTGCTAATGCCACCTTTCCTGATGATCCCAATACTGTATATACACTTGCAGCAGTAGACAGGAATCAAAGAGTTAATAGGACCTGTGCTGGGGAAGGTAGGTATAAAGGAAGGCCTTACATGGCTGTGAAGGAAACAGATTGGTGGCACATAATTATTAAAAAATCATAATAATCTTAGAAGTACAAGGGACTCTACAGATCATCAAGTCTAGCCCCATCAAGGAGGCATATTGGGAATCGAACACCCAGCTTCTGGCTCTGTAGCCAGATGCCAGATGCCTAAGCCACTGAGCTATCCAGCAGTAATGACAATTCTGCACACAATTAATATTTAAGGTTTAATTCCAGGTGAATATAAGCAGGCTGGAAATAAGCAATAATGAATACCGTATTTTTCGCTCCATAAGACGCACCTTTCCATAAGACGCACCAATTTTTAGGAGAAGAAAACAGGAAAATATAATCTGTTTTCTTCGCTCCATAAGACGCACAGACTTTCCACCCCCCTGTTTTGTGGGGGAAAGTGCATCTTATGGTGCGAAAAATATGGTAAATAGATTAAATATATTTACAGTACTATCACTATTTCTAAATAGATGTCTTAAAATATGATTGTTAACAAATTGTTCATATTGTTACAGGTCGTGTGAACATTGTCGACTTGCAGCAGGTAATTTGCCTTAAATACAAACACTCATATGCTATTTTATCTATGCTTAATTGGGCCAACATGAAGTTTATAACTGATGTTAATGATTATGTTGCTAAGGAGTTGCAGAATATAATGTAAATCTCTATGTATTGCTCTGTATTTCATTGTTGTTAGCTATATATGTTGCCACTTAAGGTTCCATTATGTTGTTCTAATTCTTTGTACTGTAATTCTTCAGTCAAATATTTTTACTCATAATGAGAGAACTTCACCACACCGCTTTCATTTCTTTGAAAGCTGTTTTATCCTATTGAGAAAATTGGGGTGTTTTTTTGTTACTATTCATTCTTCGTTAAATGTCAGAACATGTATAAGTAAAAAATTCCTGACAACTAGGGCATTCAGATAAATAATTAATATCTCAATTCCATTAACCTTTTTTCTCTTCTTAAACTTCAAGTAAGTGAAAGCCTTTCATTATGATTACATGTTCTACTGAAATTGTATTTTGTGCATTAAATTTTCTTGATCGTTATTTTCTTTTCTAGTCTTTGAATTTTAATTACAGTCAAGATATTTCCACTTTCTTGGAGTGACTGAAAAGTTGTTGGTGAATGATTATTGATGAATCCAAAAGTGGATAATTTTAACAGTAGAGAACAGATCTGTTTTCTAGACAGTAACCTGTTTTTTTTCCCTTTAGGTAATAAATGTAGATCTGCTCCATATTGAAAACCGAGCCAATGACATTGTGAAATCAGACCGAACAGTTCAGCTAGTGTTGGGACAACTTATAGATGAGTGAGTTCTTTTAAGTGTATTTTAAGTGCAATGTACAGTGGTGCCTCGCTTGACAACAATAATCCGTTCCATTCAAATCGCTGTTAAGCGAAATCATCGTCAAGCGAGAGTAAAAAAAACCACCATTGAAATGTATTAAAACCAGTTAATGCGTTCCAGTGGGCGAAATACCTCATCATCCAGCAAAGATCCTCCATAGGGGAAGCCATTTTCGATCGCTGTCTTCTGGAAATAGGTCCTGAAAACAGCGGGAAGCCATTTTGAAAACCCGACAATCAGCTGTAAAGATGTCGTGAACTGAAAAATCGGTTCCCGATCATCATAAAGTGGATTTTCTCCATTGAAACATCGTTTTGCGATCACTATAGTGATCGCAAAAACCTCATCGTTAAGCGATTTCAGGGTCAAGCGGGGGTAATTGTCAAGCGGGGCACCACTGTAAATGGGTAACAAGGTTTTAAATATAATGAACATAATAGGGGCAGTAGACGGTTATGATTATGATTTATGACTGTGGAGTCATTCTAAAGGTAATAATTATGAATGGTCATTATCTTTTGCTAATGACACAACTAAATTAAAGCCAGAAGGACATCTAGTGGCTTATGTGCACAGAAGTGAAAGGAAAGTCTGATGCTGCACAACACATACAAAATGAGAAATGCTTGATGTTCAAGCTGGATTCTGAAAAGCAAGAGACAGTTAAGATCATATCTCAAATATCTGCTAGCTACTAAAGTGCATAAATTTCAGAACATCAGTATATGCTTTATATACTACAGCAAAGCTTTTGACTGTGTGAATCACAGGAAACTGAAGGTTGATCTGAAAGAAATGGGTGTGTCTCTTGGGACTAAGGGCAAGATCATCCATACTTTTCTATTCCTGATGACCATGTATAGGTGTAAAAGCCGGACAGTAAAGAAAGCTGACAGGAAAAACAATATTCATTTGAAATCGGTGCTGAAGGAGACCTTTGCAAATACCCTGGGCTGCTGGAAAGACTAACAAGTGGGTCCTAGATCAAATCAAGCCTGAAACTTTTTCTGGAAGCAAAAATGATGAAACTGAGGCTGTCCTACTTTGCTTACATCATGAGAAGGCAAAACTCTCAGGTTAAGACAACAATGCTGGGAACAGTGGAAGACAGCGGGGAAAAAGGAATACCAGATACAAGAAAGTATTGACTTTCTAAAGGAACCACAGACTTGAGTTTGCAAGAACTGAGCTGGGCTATTGAAGACAGGATATTTTAGAGATTTCTCAGTCATAAAGTTGCCATAAATTGGAGGTGACTTGATGACACGTAACAACAACATTTATGGATGAAACTGGCATCTGGAATGTAGTTTGCCTCCTCAGTGTGTGGATTGAGTGAAAGAGAAGTAAACTGCAAAGAATTCTTTTAACATCTTTAAAAATCATTTTAAAAACTTTCATAAGTATAGCTTATTATCTAAGAACATGAACCCAATAAAGCAAATGGCACGCTACTCTTGGTATTTGTTTTCTTGCCATGATTACATCGTCAGAGCCTCATTTTTGGGCCACAGACTCATTGTAGCTTAAAATTGGAACACACACATATTTAATGTGAGAAGTAAATCATGATGTATAGGCCACATGAGCAGCAATGTGTAAAACATGAAGAAGATCTGATCAATTTGACTCCAAGAGAAACAACTATTACATCTACAAATTTAATAATTTGGACCAATGTTGGCTAATGCTTATGTAGTATACTACTAAATAAAATTACCAAAAAATCTGTATTCATCTTATTTACAAGTAAGAAAAATATGGAATAATATTCCTAGACTTTTTTGTTTGTTTTTTTCATTTTAGGCGTTATCTAGACCAGATAGCAGAAGAAACAAATGACAAGTTACAAGAATCTGGCCAGATGAAAATATCTGAATTGTGCAAGACCTATGACCTTCCAGGAGACTTTTTAAAGCAGGTAATTAATGTGAAAGAGGCCTCCATTTGTTTGAGGGCATACATGATATCTCTCTTCCTATAGTTGTTTTGATGGTCTTCTGGGTGGTGAGGTTGTTTCCTTATGGAAGCCTGAAGTTTAACTGATGCAATATACAGTGGTGCCCCGCATAGCGACGATAATCCATGCAGCCAAAATCGTCGCTATACGGATTCGTCCCTATGTGAAATAAAAAAGCCCATAGGAATGCATTAAAACCTGTTTAATGCGTTCCTATGGGCAAAAAACTCACCTTTATGCGAAAATCCTCCATCCGGCCGCCATTTTCGCTGCCCGGTAAGCAAGAAATCCAGGCGAAAACACAGCGGGTGGCCATTTTTTTTAACCCGGCAGCCATTTTGGAACCTCCAATCAGCTGTTGGGAAATCATCATTGTGCGAAAATTGGTAAGCGAAACAGCTTACCAATCATCGCAAAGTGATTTTTCCCAATGCAATCGCAAAAATTCGTCGCTATGTGGATTCGTCGTTAAACGGGGCGCCCGTTAAGCAAGGCACCACTGAATGTGATTTTAATTTGCTTGCTGTAGCTATATATACAGAAGTTAACTGTATTGTTATGATGATATTGAGTCTAATCTCTTCACAGTCACTGTGCCTGAGAACACGGGAGTGAAGTGGTGTCTTCAGAGTATTAAAAATAAACAGCTAGCTGATGTACTACTTCAATAAGATTCTCTGGAAAGATAAAAACCATTCTTCTTGCAGCATGATGGAGAGCCATTGCTTTAACAGTGACCTTTAGAATATAGACATGAAAAGTATTTGCTAATCTGTTGTGGGAGGGAAGCAGTGGAGCCAAAGATAAAGAAAATGCTTTCTCCTAAATTAACACACCAGCATTTGCATACAAGAAAAATAAAAAGGAAATGAGAGTTACATACACCAGATGCATGTGGTGGTTCTTAAGATTTGCCTAGTACAGAGTAATGTAATTCTCCAACAAATCACTGTGTTTTTGTTCTCAGGCATTTTCTGCCCGTCTGGGAAAAATTATCCATGGCCAAATTGACCAAGACAATCGAGGGGTGATTTTCACAAATGCCTTTGTCACACGTCATCAGGCACGTATTCGTGGTCTTTTCCGTGCCATTACCCGGTAAGTCAGAATACGCATTTCTGGTTCTGGTCACAAAATGACATCATTTTCAGAGGTCAGGAACAAGGTAGAGAAAAAGAATGTGCTTGTACATGCATGCAAGTGTGTGTGCATAGATACAAATGAAGAAACATGAAGAGAAAGAGACTCAGACATGTACAATGCAATGTAGATATCAAAATGTACATGATAAAATGCATCCTTTGGATGCACAACTGTTATGATTTGCTCCTTTGCTCTTGGTGACACGGACAGCCAACCTTCTACAGTAAATATAAGAGGCCACCTTTCAACTTTTCAGATAGTGGAGTATTCATCCATTATTGTATGTTTCAAAGCTATGTAACAGTACTGGTGTGACACGTAACATTATTAGTCTTGAGCCTCAATCAAATAGGTTATGTGAGGCAGCCGTTATAACATTTGCATGCCCTTTTCTTACTGCCCTTGGGTTTTTTTTTAATGTACTCTAACTAAGAAGCTGAAAGGGAAAGAATCACAGAGGTAAGATGAACTAGAGCCATGAGTGACTAAAGGAGTAAAGGTAACGACGGTTTGCCCAGTTTTAATAGACAGCTACAGTATATCACAGAAGTGAGTACACCCCCTCACATTTCATAAATACTTTAATATATCTTTTCATGTGGCAACCCTGAAGAAATGGCACTTGGCTACAATGTAAAGCAGTGAGTATACAGCTTGTATAACAATGTAAAATGTGCTGTCCACTCAAAATAACACAACACATAGCCATTAATGTCTAAACCGCTGGCAACGAAAGTGAGCAAACCTCTAAGTGACAATGTCCATGTTGGGCACAAAGTGGCAATCTTTTATGTGGCCACCATTATTTTCCAGCACTGCCTTAACCCTTTTGGGCATAGAGATCACCAGAGCTTCACAGGTTGCCACTGGAGTCCTCTTCCGCTCCTCCATGAGGACATCACAGAGCTGGTTGATGTTAGAGAATTTGCACACCTCCACCTTACGTTTCAGGATGCTCAATAGGGTTTAGGTCTGGAGACATGCTTGGCCAGTCCATCACCTTTACCCTCAGGTTCTTTAGTAAGGCAGTTGTCATTTTGGAGGTGTGTTTGGAGTCGTTATCATCTTGGAATACTGCCCTGTGGTCCAGTATCCGAAGGGAGGGGATCATGCTCTGCTTCAGTTTGTCACAGTACCTGTTGGCATTCATGGTTTCCTCAATCAACTGTACCTCCTCAGTGCTGGTAGCACTCAAGCAGCCCCAGGCCATGACACTCCCACCACCATGCTTAACTGTAGGCATGACACACTTGTCTTTGTACTCCTCACCTGGTTGCCGCCACACATGCTTGACACCATCTGAACTAAATTAGTTTATATTGGTCTCATTGGACATGTTTCCAGAAATCCTTAGTCCTTAGTCTGCTTGTCTGCAGCAAACTGTATGCAGGCTTTCTGGTGCATCATCTTTAGAAGAGGCTTCCTTCTGGGATGACAGCCTTGGAGACTAATTTGATGCAGTGTGTGGCATATAGTCTGAGCACTGGTAGGCTGACCCCTCTACCCCTCCCACCTCTGCAGCAATGCTGGCAGGGCTCATGTGTATGTTTCCCAAAGCCAACCTCTGGATAGGATGCTGACCACGGGTACTCAACTTCTTTGGTCGATCATAGCCGCCTAGAGTGGTCATAACTGACCAGATAGGCAGGATATGAATAGAATAAATAAATAAATAAACGGTGAGGCCTTTTCTGAGTGGAACCTGCCCTGTTAAACTTGTCCACCGTACAGCAGCTCAGTTTCAGGGTTTTGGCCATCTTCTTATAGCCTAGACCATCTTTATGTAGAGCAACAATTGCTTTTTTTTTCAGATCCTCAGATAGTTCATTACCTTGAGGTGCCATGTGGAACTGCCAGTGACCAGTCTGAGAGAATGAGAGCAATATCACCTGTTCCCCCTTCACACCTGAGACTTGTGACACTAATGGGTGTCATAACACCAGGGAGGGAAAATGACTACTTCGGCCCAATTTGGACATTGTCACTTAGGGGTGTACTCACTTTTGTTGCCAGCGGTTTAGAGATTAATGGATGTGTGTTGCGTTATTTTGAAGGGACAGCACCTTTAGACTGTTATACAAGCTGTATACTCACTGCTTTACATTGTAGCCAAGTGTCATTTCTTGGCTACAGATGGACAGATATACTAAAATATTAATGAAATGTGAGGGGGTGTACTCACTTCTGTGATATACTTGTACATCAGTACAGCCTACTCTGATGATATTCTCATACAAATGGGGCCTGCTTTGTTCCCAGCTGTCTCAGTCCTTAGATATTGTTCCCCTGCTTCCATTCTACAGTGGTGCCTCGCATAGCGAGGTTAGTCCGTTCCGGATTAACCTTCGCTATGCGAAAACATCGCTAAACGGGAATAAAAAAGCCATAGAAACGCATTGAACTTTGTTCAATGCGTTCCTATGGCTTTAAAACTCACCGTTAAGCGATGTTGTCCCATAGCGCCACCATTTTCGCGCCCTCGGTAAGCGAGGGCAGGGCGCGAAAATGCGGCGTGGACCTTCCGGCGGCCATTTTGGAACCGCCGATCAGCTGTTCTTCCGGCTTCGTTATGCGATATTCGCTAAGCGAAACGCTTAGCGAATATCGCAAAGCGAAAAATCCCCATAGGGGCCATCGCTGAGCGAATGCTCCAGCGATGGCCCAGAGCGCCTCGTTAAGCGATTTCATCGCTCAGCGAGGCGCTCGTTAAGCGAGGCACCACTGTATTTTAAGGAAAGATTGGGGCAAAGTCTAGAAACTGGCATTGGTTTGGGTGAAGGGAAAAAGATATATCTGTCCTTGCCCTTTCCTCTAGCCATCTTCCGGGCTCCACTGCTCATGTGAGTTGAAAGCTAGGGCATCTGAGTTCTGGTGGCAGATGGACTTTTCTTCATTGCACGTCCTGCATCACTTCTCAGTAAATGCAGCAGGAGGCAGCTGCCCTGGAAGCATCTCTGAACATGCACACAGACTGAGAACTGTAGATAGTTTTTGCTTCTTGCACAAGAGGAGGACACCATTTTATGATCGGTTTCACAATTTTTGTATTAACAATTTGTGTTTAGTGCACTCTTCAGATCCCTGACAATTCTTATTTTTATTCACAGGGCCTTCAGCCTAAAATCTAACTTCCATCCCTTATATTTAGATAAACTGAAAAAGAGGGCAACAGTGTGTGTTAGGACAATGCTGACACTCTGGATTGGGTTTTTGTGGGCTGCAGGAAGGGGCCAGGCAGAAACCATTATGAATTCAGCACTCTCATTTCAGTTCCAAAAGTCATGAATTGTTGTTTAACAGTATCTTTCCAAGTGTAATTAGCAGGCACCAATGCTTTAAACAAGCAAATAATCCAATCTTCTGTGGAAATGTAAGTAATTGCAGTCCTGGGGAGAAGCATGGAGCTGTGTATTAGCACTGAATCCCCACTCTTATTGCACCTGCCCTAGCAAGGTTCCATTTAAAAAGGAAAAATAACCAGCTCATATGTATTTTAGATCTTGCCTGATCATTTCAGTTTTCAGAACCACAGTGTAAACGTGTATTAAATTTTCTTTGGTGTCCTGATTTCTCATATACTTATTTCCCTCTTTAGACCAACTCCAGTAAATAATCTAATCACTCGGCATGGTTTTCAAGAGCATCTACTTTACTGTGAGTTAAATTAAAACTATTCCATACTAACATTGGCCAAAATCCTCTTGCTTAGTTTCCCCAGATGAAGGGAGATGTCATAACCCCCAACAGCTCATTTACACTGATAAATGAGTCCTCAGTTAGATTCCTAGTCAGGCGGCAGTGGTGTGAAATGACCACAAGCTGGGATTCATTAATGAGTGTCAATTTGCCACTGCAAGTTACGCTATTTCCCTTCTGCCAGTATAGCTGCACAACAGGATTTTGATGTTTAATTTTTGTAATGGAACTTTGAAAGTGTTGATCAAAAAGTTGTGGGTATTCTGTCTGTGCTAAACAGTCTTGTCATAGCACATTCACTCATTATCAAGCAGTAGTTTCTGTGTACTATCCCACTGTCATTAGTGCTCATCTTGTCCTTATAGAAATGGAAGTTTTGGTGATGAAATGGCCGTGGTAGCAGGATGAGGCCAAAACTGCAGGTGTCAGGTTTATCCATCAAGCACAAGTGCACCAGATTCACTAGACTCTTAATGATAACAATGGAGGAGTTTTATTTATAGACTTGGTCCTGTGATAACAGAGGCTGAGTGTTTGAGATGCTCTCAGGTTTATCTGTCAGAATGTTAAAGTATTCTCCTTATATGGCTGCTTGTTTGCTTTCCATTTAATAATAGCAGTGCCTCACAGCAGTTGCCTGACTTCAATACCCAAATACCTTCCTCAATTCCTTTATCTCATCTTCAGAGACCACCACAGAGGCTTCTGTTTGGGCTAAACAGTCTTGTCATTGCCTACATACACATGGACAATTACAGCTCTTGTTTGCTGAACAACATTCCAGCTCGTTTCCCCTGTTTCTCATTATCTAATTTATTTCATATTTAGTTTTGCATTAATATTTCATGAGTTATGGCCAGAAGTAGTTAGAATCATTCCCCCCCTCTAATTTTGTGGGGTAGGGGATATTGTGTTAGACTTGTGTTTGATCACTTCAGAAACTCAAAGCTTCACAGATCCCTGAGGGCAGGATGCATGTTAAACTCTTGACCACCTGCTAATTTGGGGATTTCAGTAGAGACCCTTGAGACACTTAGCCACCATATTATGGATGTCAGCTCAAATACATGATACTTTACAACATGACGGATGTTAATAATTGAAATAATAAAATGCTATGAGAATATAGTTTCCAAAACCATTTTTATATCAAATCCACTCTTTTATTACAGATAGATGTAAATATTCATATATCTGCAAATGCTAACTCAAGCAATGAGGTCCTGTTTTGAGGCTAAATTTCATAAATGCACACCCAAGTGGTCTTAACTACTGTTAGCTAGGTTACCAGGTAAAATGATACACCCATTTGGATTGCAGTTAAGAGTGGTGCTTTCTCTCCACTTTTTTTGTAAATCTTCCTAATGCTGTGCTGCTTCATTTCTGTTATCAGCTGTGCTGGAGGAGCTTGTCAATACTGGACATCTGAAAGGCACAGTAGTTGGTGGAAGACAAGATAAGGCTGTGTTCATCCCTGACATTTATGCAAGAACTCAGAGCAACTGGGTGGATTCTTTTTTCAAGCAAAATGGTTATTTGGGTAACGTATAGTTTTTCTTCTTGAACCCATATTCCCCCCTGAAAGTTACTAATCAAGACAAGCACATATTTAGCATGTAGTCTCATTTTCCTATGCCAGTTCTCAACATTTGTGCCACTATTTTGAGACCAAGAAATGGGATGCATAGAGGGGTGGGTAGAAGTAATGTTAATTCCCATAGTTGTACAACTCCATTCATACCTGAGGTTATTGTTGTATTGAAGAAAAAAAAGCTCATGCTCTTAGGAAAAGTTAAGCCAGTGGGGTTTTGGAAGGTCCATAGCATAAGAGATCTTCACCTAGTTGATATATGTACACACATCATTGTTCAGTCTCACTGCTGCATGAGCAGAGCTGGCAGGCAGTGTTAGCCCCTTAGGCCAAATGTCTTAGTTTCCTTCAAAGTCAAGGACTTTCTGTAATTTTGTAGAATTTGATGCATTGTCCAGACTTGGCATCCCAGATCCTGTGAACTACATAAAGAAAAGGTACAAGTCCTTGCAGCTCTTGTTTCTGAAAGCCTCTTGTGTTGGTCAGGAAATTGTGGATCAGGTGGAGGCCTCTGTGGATGAAGCCATCAGCTCTGGAACCTGGGTGGATATTGCGGTATGTGCTTTTGGTTTTCTTTCTTTCTGACGGCAGTCTTATTGGTCTATAAGAGGCCCCAATTTCAATCTCCTTCATCCTCCAGATGGAATTGCCCACTGTGGAGATTAAGCCAGTGTACATATACATGTATATAATTTATTTTCATTCTGACAGAAATTCTGAAAAATACTAAATTGCTACACATAAACACACACGTACGTCTAAGATTTCTTTAGATGTTCTGCATAAAATTTTCAAGTTTGCTATTACAGCCGGATGGGCTAAAAGCTTTTTAAAAAAATGAAACCCATTGTCAGGATGAATGCCATGTATTATATATGCAAAAACTTTGTGGATATTTGTGCCGATTGGCGGGATGATAAATGCAAATATGAAATTGACTACTTGTATTATTCTTTGTTGTTTGTTTTTCTTAGCCTCTTCTTCCAAGTTCATTCTCTGTGGAAGATGCCAGCATGTTGCTTCAGCAAGTGATGAGATCCTTCAGTAAACAGCCTTCAGCTTTGGTCTTTGGCGATACTAATGTAGTCAGTGAGAAGTTTCTCAACAGCTGTGCTGATTTGTTCAGTGATCTTATGCATCAGAAAGCTGAAAAGGTTGGTAGTTGAGCTCCTTGTTTTAGAAAAGGACTGACCCATGATCTGCCAAGTTATGGTGTGACCTGCCAAGAGTTCTGTTGTCTTAACAATGTGAAGCAAACATCAAACTCAAGATACTTACTTAGCTCTTGGTCAGTCTTCATATTTTACTGTTGACTGTATTCAACTTGATAGGTCAAATGTTTTGCTCACCTGGTTTTGTTGCATTAATATGATGTGCTTTAATATGAATTTTCTGTAGAATCAATGACAAACCCTTTCAGTGTTCTACATTATTTTCCCACCACTGAAGCCTGCATGTTCCTTTGTTTCAAAAAGGAGAGGAATTTCTCAAAAGAGGGGGAAAATACATTCTTGGGCAAAAGTTATGGTTAAAACTACAGTCCCCAAGCCAAGGAATTCATTCCCCAGATCAACACCTCAGCTCAGTACATGGGCATATTGATGCACCCCACCTTTTCCATACTAAGCAGGTGGAAATATAGTATCAAAAAAACCCAGAAGGCCTGCCGGAAGTCATGCCACACATGTCTGGTCTTCATTGCAGGAAATGAAAAATAACCCTGTTCACTTAATCACAGAAGAGGACCTGAAACAGTCTTCCATTATAGACAATATATCTTCAAGTAAAAAAGACAAAAAGGATGAAAGAAGGAAGAAAGCAACAGGTAAGCAGCTGGGGCATAATAATTTGGTGGAAGAATCTATGGTTTCTTTGCAGCTGGCTCAATGCTGGCAAAACATGTGAACCAGAAAGCAGCAGAGGCACGCCTAAAGAAACCACACATACAGTAGGTACTTGGTGCACTTCAGTTTTGCATCATCTTGTACAGCCTGTCAATCTTTTAGTGGTATTGCACATAGCAAAGACATGTTCATCTTGAGTTGTTTTGAAATAAATTCTGTTTACATACTCGGATTCAGGGGAATACTATCTGGCTCCTTGAAGTCTCGAGGAGAATTGCAGAAGACATGCAAAGTGCTGCAGAGATGAATGATATGTTGTGGTACAAGCTGTTCCTAGGCAATAATCCACATCCTCTTACACATGACATGAGCTGAGAAAGCATTTCTTGGAATATAGTGTTGGTTTGCCAAGAATGGGATATGCATTTAAGTAAAGAAATAAAAGAAATAAAATGAAACATACTCATAGTAGCTTCAACTTTTTAGTGGAACTGTCCCTATGTTAAGAAATGCATCCTCTAGTTGGCCTTAACCTTTCCCACATAGTCTCTTCTTTTCCTGTTGTTTCTCCTTGTTCTCTGTGTTACTAACTCTCTCAAAACGTGGACCATAAGTGTTAGGAGGTAATAGTTTACATTCTTTTTCCCTTGTCCTCTGTGTTAGCCACACACACCCATGCTTATTTATGCATGCATTTACTTATACATTGGATTGCCTCATGGGGGGATTGCATGGGAAGAAATATTCAGACGTCGTTTACTATTACCTTCCGCTGTGCTATCAAAACAAATATAGTACTAGTACTAGTACTAACAAAACTTAGTAAAGAAATATTCAGACGTCGTTTACTATTACTTTCCACTGTGCTATCAAAACAAACATAGTACTAGTGCTAACAAAACTTAGTACTTTAGTGTCACTGCCATTGTCTGTGAAAGATCTTTCATTAATGCCACTTGCCGTGACTGCTGCTGGAGAACAGCTACTCTGCCCCCTTAAAGTTGGAACAGACCCTTCTCTTCTGCTGACATGACTGTTCATCCTCACGAGGATGGGTGCATCTTAGTCTGGTGTCTCAGCTTTGACCATTCTGCCTTGGGCGGCCCTGCTAAAAGCCCAGACTAGTAACAGAATCTAGCCTCCTAATGACATTATTCCTCCCTGACACACTCAAACCCCCTCACCTCATTAAGGTGTGCAGCCGGGGGGGGGGGGGGAGAGAGGAAGACCAACTATGAGATGGATTGACTCCAAGTCATAGCTTGAGTTCGCAAGACCAAAGCTGAGTTGTTGAGAACAGGAGATGGGGTCGTCGTAGGTTGGAGGCCATTTGACAGTGCAAAGCAACAATATTTAGTTACATAAAGTTCAGTTGACAGAACTGCGTGGCTTTGGCTGTGTTAGTGGTGCTTATATTCCCTAATAACAATGCATGCTTCCTTAGATTTAAGCCGTTTTGTTTCTCTGAGGTTTCCTCCGAGGTAGCTCTGCATGTGATTGCACAGGTAGCTCTGCATTTGATTGCAGCCCAGATAAAGACTGTTCATAAAACTGAGTAATTTCCATTTACAAATGATAGGAAAATAACCCTTCCTGCCCAGTGGCATAGCCCCTGACAGCAGGACAGAGAGAGAGAGAGAGAGGTAATTTCCCTCCTGCGTCTGCAGCCCCTACAGGCAGTCTCAAAATGTGGCCCGGAGGATTAAGAGACGGCTCCAGCATAAATATGGGGAGGTGTGAGGGCAGCTGGAAGAGGGAACAAGAAGAGGAAGGTCCTGCAGGCACAAGCAGATGTCCCCTTAATGTGGGGACAGATTTTTGCCCTAAAGGTTTTCATCATGCTGAATCTAAATCAGCCAATAATGTCATTGTATGGTGGTGTACTGCAGCACCCTCATTCATCTCTATGGCACCACAGCGGTATGGACATCAAAATTCATCAGGGAATATAGAGCTGATTTGAAATACCCGTAGAGGAGGACTAAGTGGAGCCTAGCAGATGTGGTTGAATTGCAGCTCCCATCAAAACCTAGAATGGTAAGGAATGCTGGGAGTTGTGGTCCAAGAACATCTGGAGGGCTGCATTTTGCCTATTCCTGCCTTGGAGGGCTCAGCTCAGAATGGTCTCAGCAGAATGAGAAATACCTGCCCTTGGATACAAAGGACAAGGAACCAAGAAATTGTTTCCCTTACTTCACAAAAGAACCATGTATTGTCGTACCCTAATGTAAAAAGAAGCAAGCAAGAATGAAAACTGTTTTTATGTGCAGCTGGCATGGGTCCATTTTGCCCAAAGAGGAAGGTTACTAGTTCTGCACAGAGACAGTTTGAACAGATTATCCTGATGAGAAAGAGAAGCATGCCTTAAGTGGGCTCACCTGGAGGTGAGAAATGTCTTGCGTCATAAAAATCCCTGCCAAGGAATCCTATGAAATCGAAACATCCTAAACTGATGAAAATGAAAAGCAATTATACTTTACAGGCCACTAGACAAGGGGGCACAGGATTATAAACTACACGTGATGATTTGATTAAAGTCCATTTTACATGGAATAGTAAGGGATATAGTTCTAATCAAAATATTTTCAGTATGGTTAAATATATGTGATTTTTTTTCTCATTAGGATTCTGTTAATTTCATTGTGAAAGAACTAAATCCCTTTCCCTTTATCTTTCACCAGCAATCATTGCATTATTATAGACCTTGCTGTAGATGCTGTTGGATTTTTTCAGTCTTGCGTTAGCTCTGTTTGATTTCGGTGGAAATCACCTTTTCATATAGTTCAATATATTTTACTGGTGAAGTGGAATCCTGGTCCTGTATTTTTCTTTATTGTTCATAAAGCTGTAACACTTCTTGTTGTTTCTGTATATAACAGGGTTTATAGCATTAACATTTTCTTTGCTTTGGTTTTATATGGATCTTGTTTCTATTTTGTTATGTTTATGAAAATATTACTTGATTCATTGTTACTTGGTGGAGTGCTAATCAATTCGTTTTTCTTCCAGAGGGTACTGGAAGTGTGAGAGGCGGTGGCGGCGGAAATGCCAGAGAATTCAAGATAAAGAAAACTAAGAAGAAGGGACGGAAAGAGGTTGACAGCGACGAGGAATCACAAGCAAGTAGCACAAGTTCGTACCTTTGATTCTGTCTACACCAGTCTCTTGTTGCAGTCTTGGAATCTCTTGTATTGTCCCTAGGGATGTTTCAGCATGTCAGGACACCATTTTATGGCAAGGATGAGAAAGTGGACACATATTCATTCTATCCTCTTTTTCTTGCCCATAATTCTACATGTATCTATTTAAAAATAATGTACACATACATGCACCCATCATTCTCCCATAAAACACCAAGTATGTGCCTTTTTAAAAACAAAAATTGTTATTTCAATGGCATTATCAAGTCCATTAATGACAACATAGAAATGCTACTACTTGCAGAGATCAAAAGTACTATAGAAAAGTGTGTAAAAATAGATTAGAAGCATCTTCATCTGGATATTTTGATTTGTGGATCTTTTACATCAAATAATTATTTCCCATTAAATATCTAGGCATATTGTTTGCAGCAAATGTCAATAAACAAAGCAAAATAGTACATTACTTTAGGCAAGATGAGTCTATTGGACCAGTGCTATTTCCAAATTGTTGTTCTGTATAAATTGGTTCACAAATTCAAAAGAGAGGGGAGGAAATCAAGGGCTCTATTATAAACACATGAGAATAATATTTAATAATTTGAAAGCAGTATTCAATACATGTGCTGCTTTTGTGCTAACTAAGTGTCCAAAAATTAAGAGCAATTTTCCTTCAAGTAACATTCTTATCCATTGTTTATCCAGGAAGCACTGAAATAAATTAAAACATATCATTTTCTCTTGCCATGGCACTATAGACAGGAGTAAGCACCACGAGATCCCTTTCATGACACAGGAAGAGATTGAAGATGTTTTAAGAAAACATGTAAAGGATTGCCCAGAGGAGCTTATAACAGAACTTGCTGATCATCTAATAAGGTAATCACCTTTCTTTGTCATGACCTGGTCTTAAACAGTACCTTATTTTCCCTAAAGAGCACAGAAGGGAAAGCCAAGGAGAAATCATAATCTTGGTGCCTATTATTCATTACCTCTTACTGAGTTTTGTTTTGTTTGGAAGGAAGGAGCCTCTTCCAGCATTTTAATAAATATAACTACTCTTGACAGTAAGTTGTAACGTTACTCAGAGATGCCATAGTAATGTTTCCAAGAGGTATCCAGAGATCTGAATTCTAATATGTCCACCGTTTGGCATGCAGCTTCATGGTCACATTCAGAAGACTTTGGAGAGACTTCGTAAACCTTGTGAAACTGAGAAGACACTTGTTTCCCAGCACAACAGCCTCACCTTTTCAAAACTGATTGGTCACTATGGGGAAACTCGACTGGATAGATGTTTGGCTTGATCGTTCGCTTCACGCATATGATTCGTTTTAAAGGGCCAGAGACCTAGAAAAAGTAATATCGTGAGCAGATGCTTACGATATCAGTGAAAAGCAAAGGAGCGCTTGGCACTGGCCCGGTANNNNCCCCCCCCCCCCCCGTTAGTGCTACTCTGTAATGACAGAACTATGTGGAAGGCATTGTGGGGGAAGTTGATGTGGCAGTGTCTGGTGCTGCTTGGAATTCAGCTGTTACCAACTGTACTACTCTTCATCTTATTTTCCTTCTTTTGGTTTTTCTAGTCTAGAAGAAAGAGGGGAGGGAAAGGAATCAAATAATCTAAAAGTCTGTACAACTGCCATCCAAGGTGGTGGCCTAGCTGTAACAGCAGCAGCAGGGGCTGGGGCTGGAAGGATATTCCTCCCCTGCACGTTCCTGAGTTCTCTCAGTCCGCGTTGGAGCAAGGGAGACTTTTGCAGTGAGTGGGCCTTGTAAGCCCCAAATAGTGCAAGCTCAGCCTCTCTTTTTCTTGGGTGAACAACCATTTCGAGCTACTGTTTGTGCTGCCTGTGCAACTCTGAGCTTTCAGCGCTTGCCAGTTCTATCCTCACTTGATGCCTGGTAGACCTGCTTGTAGGGCAGGGGAAAATTTTGCTGACTGAGAAATAAGGGAAGGCAACTTGCCTAGTACACTGTCAATCCGGGAGCTGTTGGTGACCTTTGCATTAAATGGGACCAAGGGAGGGACTAAGCAGCTTGTAATTGTGCTGTGCTTACTGTAATGCATACAAAATCAGTAGCAACGTGTCTTAAAATATGCTTTTAGATTTTTTTTAAAAATGTGCCAGCAGGAGGGCATTTGTAACTTGCTACATGCCACTGCCACCATTTTACTAAAAGCCGTGAACTCTGTATGACTGAAATTTGGAATGACATCCTTGCCAATTAGCAGAACATGCTAAGAGCCAATCTGGCATCAGCATTGCCTAATTAAAGAGCATCTGTTTCATTTGCACTGTTTTTGCTGTTGTTCATTAGGCTCCATAGCTATTGGAGAAATATTGGGTTCCTGTTAATCTCCCCTTCTTTTCCTCCCTCCTCTTTAGGCCACTGACAAAGAAGTATCAGGAAGAATTGCGTTCTGTATTCATGTCCTCAACTTCTTCTTACTCAGGAGCAAACAGGAAAAAGACTATGAAGGACTTGCAGGAAGAGGTTTCAAACATGTATAATAACATCCGATTATTTGAAAAAGGAGCAAAGCATTTTACAGGTTCATTGAACTATTTTGTTTTAAAACATGTATATGGTTTAGTGCTTCCTTGCTGGAAAGTTACTGGCTGAAATCCTGTTGCCTTGCATAGTAAGCCACCGCTAGAGTAGACCCACAAAATCAGTGGAATTTACAGAGAAGTTGACTCACCAGGTCCCTACTGATTCAATAGCTCTGCTCTAGTGGTGACTTGTTATATGCTAAGCAACAGAATCACTGCCATTGTTTACAAAGAGGTGTGAAAAGCAATAGTTGAAAGGAAGAAGGAATGAAAAAAAATGAATACTTAGAAATTTACAATGATTATGTAGCTACAGTATTTCACTATGAACAGGTGAGGTTTTTCCTGGATTTAAAGAAAGGCAAAAATGTTCCTTATTCCTCTGTGGTTGAAATAGTCCTTGTTTTGTTCCAACATTTGTGTCTCCTTCCAGGTGTAGGAGTTTCTGTTTAGTTCATTAGCTGGTGGTTTCTTTTCTTTCTAGCTTATTGTGAATTTGGTTTCAAATGATTGCCAGATAACAGTGCCCATCCTTTTTGTTAAACTTCTCCCTTTTACAGTTGTGGCTTTCTTTTCTTCTCACTCCCATCTGCCTCTTTACCTCCAGAGATATTTTTGTGTTGATGATCATTGAATTCTACCATTCATGATCCACATGGAGCTGCCTGTAGGAGTCAATTTAATCTTCCCTTTCTCTGCTTGAAGCAAGATAGCCTAGTTTGAAACATCTTGTCTGACCTTTCCAGTAACATTTATAGTTGCTTCGTGCTTTTTGATGCCACAAGCATAACACTGTTAAAAGCAGCTGGAAGCAGGAAGACATAGCTGTACACTCTGACTAGAAGAAAGCTCACCGGACCTCGTTCGCTTATTGGGGCAGTAGAAGAATATTGTCATGAATGGAGGTTTGACCATGAACTGTGTTGGTTTCTAAGCCTGCATTTTAATTGCAGAAATTATATCTTCCAGATGAGACGCAAAGTAATATTGCCAAGCACATGCTGAAAACAGTTTGTACAGACATCACGAATCTTATTTTCAACTACCTAGCTGCTGATGTAATGATGGCATCAGAAGACTACACTGCAATTACAGCTGAGGTACATAAATTCCATTTTCTCTGAACCTTGTGGCTTCTTAAATAACTGTGTGACATGGCTTCCTAAGGATTTTGGTAACAATATCCATACCTTTCTGTTCTCTTCCATTGTGATCTCTGTGATGAGGCACAAGCCTTCCACAAGCATACTTATAAGAGCATCTTTTCCATCCATAAAGAAAGAGACACACATGCTGCCTGCCTCTGAGTCTCAGATTCCCTGACCTTTGTTGTTAGCCTGTTCTGTGCTGGAGTAATTTTTTCTGTACTAGCCTTTGCTACTGCTGCTGTACTTTTTGCAAAGGTCAAAGTTGATTTCATAATTTGCAACTGAGTTGTCCTGTATGCATTTCCCTTCCTTCACACAGAGATGCAGGAACATGGATAAAAACATATTATTAGCCACCATTTCTACTAATATCCAGCTCCCATGTTGCTTGAGGTTTTAAGGATGGTTGTGGGGAACAGGTTTCATTCTCTGTCATTTTCTCAGAAGAGCACTGGAAGCTTGTAGATAACTCAGTATTTCTAAGAAGACTTCATAATCTCATTGAACTACAATGAGTAAAATAAGCGAGTTGCTTGATAATGTAAAGATTATCTTCCATGATTTGCATCTTCTTCCTTCTTTCTAGATCAGGAAGAAGATTTTAAGCACATTGCCTGAAGAGACAAGAGGTCCTTTAACAAAACTTCACATGGCACTGAATGGCAAAGTAAGTTCCACTGTACTGAACAAGAATAGTTTTCTTCTGTGTCTGTGTGTCTGAATTTATAAATGCCCTTTGTTCTTTACTTACTCCCTTGCTAATCCATTTCAAAATACAGTGGTGCCCCGCATGACGATGATAAAAAAGTTCCATAGAAATCGCTGTTTAGCGAAATCATTGTCATGCGAAATCCGTTTCCCCATTGGAATGCATTGAAACCTGTTTAATGTGTTCCAATGGGGAAAATACCTCGTCGTCCTGCGAAGATCGCCCATAGGGAAGCCATTTTGCGACCGCTGATCAGCTGTTAAAATGGCTGTCCTGCGAAGCATAGGTCCCAAAAACACAGGGAAGCCATTTTGCGGAGCCGCCGATCAGCTGTAAAAATAATCGTCTTGCGAACAAGCAGTCCACGAAGCACGGACCAAATCATCGTCCAGCGAAAATCCCCCATTGGAATGACTGTTTTGCGAATCGCTATAGCGATTGCAAAACCTCATCATCATGCGGATTCGTCGTTTTATGCGGTTGTTGTCTAGCAAGGTACCACTGTAGGCAGACAATCAACTGAGCAAAGCAAGCAATTAAGTTTCAGTTAGCCCTTTTTACTCATAGGTACAAATAGCAAAATGTCCAAGAATTGATGTTGAGGACCCATGGGCAAATGGTCATTTTTTTAATACCTCAGTACTCTGTGGAAGGGTGGGGACCAGAAATGTTCAGATTAAAAGTTCATTAGGCAAGCTCTGGTCAAGCTTAACAGAAGATACCAAGACATATTAAAGGAACCATAATTTTGCTTATGCATGGGATTCAAATGAGTTAAGGTTAGTTTTACTTCTTTTTTGAGACATAAAAAAGTTTTTTCTGCTATAGATCTTATCAGTCTTTTCCCTTCCAAATGTAATCACTGACATTTTTCTTAACTTTATTGCTGTATTGCCTTTTTCTTCATTAATATTTTACCACGAGGGAAACATTCCTACAGAAAAGAAAGAGGAACTGAAAAGCAACGTTATAGATTATGGGCTCATAAAGAGTGCAAGGGTCGGGATCCAGTTCTCTCCATATAACTTTTGTCTGTGGTGTTAAAATTCATGTACAGTGTTCTATCCTGCCACTCAAAATGTTTCAGAAGAATTTAAAGGTATACATTCTACAGTTGTAGAGATTGTAGACAATCTTCTGGACAAGCAAGTATGTAGCAGGCAGCAGTCGGCTAGAATGCAAATTGTCTTTATTATCTACTGAAAGACCTTCGAAGAGGAGGGTGACTCGTACATTGTGGCACAAGGTGTTCCATAGTACTGGTTCAGTCACTAAAAAAGCCTTGTCACCATCCACCAGTGCCTCTCTTTTTGTCCTTATGGAGAGATTAACTTAAGAGGAGAGAAGGGTAAAATATGAACATTCCCTTTTATAAAGGGAATCTGCAATAAAATGTTACAGTATAAAGTGCTGTTGGCTAGTGTTTCTGTTAGCCATGTTTTTCTCCGTAATACTCCATCTCCCTGTCCTTCTGCCAGCAGGCCCATTCCACACTGGGATGTTCTTCTGGTTCTTCTCCAACATCCCATAAGGACTTTTTCAAAGGATTTTCTTGAAACCTCAAAGCCTTGCCTGTAATCTTTTTTGTAAGAGGACAGTGTCATTTTGATTGTATATTCCAGCACTCCCTTTCAAATGCTGGAAACAGAGGGAAGTATAGTGGTGCCTCGCATAGTGATCACTCTGTTGAGTGACGAAATCGCTTAGTGACTTGAGTAGACTTTTTCAAAGGATTTTCTTGAAACCTCCAAGCCTTGCCTATAATCTTTTTTGTAAGAGGACAGTGCCATTTTGATTGTATATATTCTAGCACTCCCTTTCAAATGCTGGAAATAGAGGGAAGTACGGTGGTGCCTCGCATAGCAAGCACTCCGTTGAGTGACAAAATCCCTTAGTGACTTGAGTATTTGCGATCGCAAAAGCGATCGCTTTGCGATGGTCCCTATGAGGTTTTTTCGCTTTGCAATGATCGCGGGGAAGCGATCATGGTAAAGCGACCCTTTTTTAACAGCTGATTGGCGGTTTCAAAATGGCCACCGGGAAAACAAAATGGCCACCCGCTGTTTTTCCTCGCTTAAGAGGCAGCGAAAATGGTGGCGCTATGGAGGATTTTCGCTTAAAGGTGAGTTTTAAGCCCATAGGAACGCATTAATCACGTTTTAATGCGTTTCTATGGCCTTTTTAATTTCGTTTAGTGATGTTTTCACTTAGCAATGTTTTTTCCAGAACGGATTAACGTCGCTAAGCGAGGCACCACTTTACTTCTTTCGAAAAGAATGTTGCCTTCTTGCATGACGTCTCTGCCTGCTCACTGAGATCAGTAGTGGAAATCTTCTTATTTGCCTGTCTTCCTAAAATAACTTTATCTGTCAGAGCCCAGGAAGGTGGCTTTCTCAGAAGGGGCACCTAGTTTATGGGCTGTGCGGATGGGGGAGCAAAAACGTGAACACAGCTTACAGCAAATGATAATATTAATATGTGAGGGGAGAATTGTTAAAGAAAGTGCACAGCTTGTGAAAGCTTATTTATAATACCTCATGGAGCAAGATTTTAGCATTGTCAGGCTGACATATCTTAGCCTACCCTATGCACTTGCAAGGATGAAATATGTGTAATAAATTTCTAAATGTTGTTCAAGGAATCATAACGATAGTAGGCACGAGCTATTGTCTGCCTCATCATACCGTATACATACCTTTAGTTAAAACAGTGTTCATTAGGTGTGCCAGAGTATTTGGGAAGCAAGCAAGCCAACTGGGAATAGCGAGAAGTGTATATTTGCAGCCAGTGAAGGAAAGTTGAAATAGGCAGCAGATCTTTGTAGGAAAAGAGGCCTGTTGTTTCAGCTCTTTGCCAAGAAAACAGGTAATAACAAAGGTTTCACTACAGGAGATGCAAGTAGAGGCTCTAGTAACATTTTTCTTTTTGTATCAATTATTTACAAACCTACCAGGTAGAAATGACTAAATGTTACCAGTTGTGGTTTTTTTCCTCTTTTATTGTTATTGTATCAAGTTATCGTTTCTAGTCCCTCTAAGTACAATACGTACATACATATTTTCTGCAATATTTGCTCCTTAATTAATCTTTTTACTCTGAATGAAAATGTTTCTGTCAATGGAGTCACAAAACTGGAGTTTTAATTAGCCTAAGTGTAGTTTGTTTTTTGTTGTTGTTGTTTCCTTTTTAAAGGATTTGGAAGAATTTGTTTCCTGTCTTGACACCGCTGCAGAAGCTTGTGATATTATGGTAAAAAAAGGAGATAAAAAGAAAGAAAGGTAACATACACTTTTTGTTCCACCCTACTGTTTTTTCATAGCATGCACACAAATGATAACTTTGTCAAAGAATTAAAGTTCTTCACTTTCTTATTAGTAGGCCAGTTCAGATGCTTGCAGGAGTATTATGATGTATTTTTAAAATGGCCAGAATCCTCTTTGTGTAGATTTAACAGCAATGCTATGCCTGCGTAGATTTCCTGGGCATTATATTAAGGTAGCAAGGAAGCACAGTGAGAAAGCAAGAGTGGTAGCTGGCTCTCATAAACTGGAATCTTAAGGGATTTGATGGCTGAGCCAGGGAGGGGCAGAAAGCGTGGGGGTGTGTGCATGTGTATGTGTGCGCAAACCCATGTGTGTGCATGTATGCACACTTCCTCTGCCCAGGGAACCATCCTGGGAAATTGAAAGAGGCAGTTGGCTGTGCACAGTTTAGAAACTTCCCTCCCTGGAGCATTAGGAATGTTGAGAGAGGAAAATAATGGTTGTAACATGCTGCATTCTCCTTTGCTACCTCCACCCTAATTTCTAATTAGCTTTGCAGGAATACCAACTGCCAGGCTGAGAAAAGGGATGAGAAGGGGGAGAACAGTCCAGCGGAGAAGAAAGTATTTTTTTTGTTGTTGCTCTAGCCAGGTTGCCCATTGTGAGATGTGCCTATAAAAGTGCTTAATGAGTAATGTTTCCATCTTGAGCCGGCTGCAGTTACCACAGGCATAATGTTCAGTTATGCCCATGTAGCTGCTCAACAGGATTTCAGCCATTTTACATTAATGAAAATGAATTTTCCATGATATTCTCCAGCTGCTTCCTTGCAAATCTAGCTTTCCTGATAATATTTAGACTTGCAGCTAAACTCTGGTGAAGTTTGCTTAACAGGATGCTGTTCTTATTTACATTGGAGTGCATTCTTGTACATGCTTATGGTGTAAATTCTGTTGAAATCAATAGAGACTTATTTCTGAGTATATGTGTATTATTCTGTCATTTGAGAATGCTTCATGAGAACAAATGGGGTATTTGAAGTCTCTTCAAACATTCATCCTTTTTCTTATTGTTTCTTATTCTAGGCAAATCCTGTTCCAACACAGGCAGGCTTTGATTGAGCACCTAAAAGTCACAGATGATCCAGCTCTTGTTCTTCACCTAACATCAGTCTTGCTGTTCCAGTTCTCAACACACTGCATGCTTCATGCACCTGGCAGATGTGTGCCACAAATCATTGCCTTCTTGAGTACAAAGATTCCAGAGGTATTTACACTTAGATACAAAAAAGGGATTTTAGACTGAGGTGCCCATTTTGTAACTGTTCTGTATTTTTTGTTTCTTTGTTTGCAAGAGGTGGGGAAGCCCTAGCATTCAGAACAAATATTTTTGAATGACTTTCAGTGCTGTCAAATGCACTGGTGAAAGCAAGGGTAGGCAGACTTCTACTGGCTTCTGTCTGTGGAGAGACACCTGTTTCAGAGTGGAGAGGCTCTGCCATAATGGAGGGTCCTTCTTCTCCCAGGGAATTGAGGGGAAGTGGTTGGATCACTGGCATCTTTGTGTCCACTGGATCCAAAACCCCAGAGGTCCTCCAAGAGGCCCGGTCCTAGAGCTTGCATGTTGGGGAGCAAATCCTCTCTTTGGCTGGCCTAAAATTGCAGGATGAGTAAAAGATACAGAGAATTCTGCTGTTAAAAGTATGCAGTTCAACTACCTTATTTTGATTTTGGGGTTTTTGCCCCTCGTAATAGAATTATAATTAGCATGTACCTTGCCATCTGTAGGGTAGTTTAAAAAACTCTGGGGAAAAGCATTTGATATGGGACCCATGGAAATTCCAAACCATGCAGTTTTTCTTCTGTGTTGGGTACGGTCTTGGGGAGAGAGCTGTAAACCAGGGCCTGTATCCAGCAATATCATTAGCAAATACATATTTGCAGTGTTTCTGCAAATAATATGTCCAGAGCAGTTTCCATTATGCAAAGGGGTGCACAATTGGAATTCATGTTTGCATCAAAAACCGCTCTACTGCTTGTCCAACAGAATACACAGCGCAAGTAACTCTAGTGGGGATTTTTATTCTAGCATGAGACTGGATTTAGGTCAAGTAACTCTAGTGGGGATTTTTATTCTACTAGCATGAGACTGGATTTAGGCCATTATCTAATGCTATGTAAGAGAATTTAAAACAATCTCATTTAGTGAGATACCTAGACTCCAGCTCAGAGATATCCTCATTAAAATACCAATCACTGCAAGTTCTACCTGTATTTTCATTGATTCATATTCTACCATTTAATTTTTATTTTAAATTAATCACATTGTTGTCTTAGTAGATTTTTTTAAAATTTATATTTCCAGGATCAGCATTCACTTCTTCTCAAATACCAAGGGTTAGTAGTAAAACAGTTGATCAGCCAGAATAAGAAGATAGGTCAAGGTGATGACGATGCAGTGGATAATAATCTGGAAGCAGAAGGAAGTACAGAGGAGATCCGAAAAGAACTGCGAGAGCTGGCTGGTTCTGTCAAAGATCTCGTTCTCAGGCCCAGAAAATCTTCTGTAACAGAGGAGTGATAATAAAGCTCATTTCAGGATGTTCAGAATATGCAAGAGTCAGAATATTTTCTTTGGGAAGACTTGATCAGTGATGCTCCATGTAACAAGCGTCGCTGGTTGTAGTGGGATGTTGGCGAAAAATCACACCGACTGGTGGTGGTGTGGCAGGAACATGTGAGCCTAATAATCTAGAAAAAATATAAGGGAAAATAACCAAAAGTGTAATGCTGCATTAAAAAATGTTATTACTAGATCTGGGGATTGGGGGGAAATGCATTGTTTCATTTTCAGATTCTCATTTCTGTGCACTATACCTCGAGTTTTAGTCTCAGAATGGAAAAAAAAATTAGGGTTAAACAGGCCTTTAGATTTCATAGAGTTCTGCCTGGAAAGTTCTTAAAAACTTGAAAAGTTGCATATTCATGTACAGAATAAATTTGGTTTGTTGCACTACCTCATTATTATTTTTTCTTTTGACCTCTTAGTGAATCCTCAAGCATTCAGAATTATGAACTAGTAATAGAGAGAAAGACCATGGGTTGGGTGACCTTTATAATCTGCTAGCAGAAGGATCCCTGGGCAGAGTTGTGCTTACAAGGCTCCCACTGAGCACAGAAGTGTCCCCAGAATTTTACCACGGGGAGGTGACTTCTGCTGGTTTCATGCTTCTCACTGGGCAGATCCCAGTGCCACTTTCCCCACTACTCCAATGGATCTCTAAATCTTCCAGATTTATAGGGAAGGAGGAGAAGGACAAAACAGTAAATATTCCCTCCTGTCCAGTTCAGTCAGTGGAATTTCCCCCACTGACAGAAGGAGCCCGTTTGTCCTTTTGAGGCTTTTGCTGGATCCAAGCCGCTGTGTCTTCTAGATCACATATTTTTCTTTCTAGATTACTGTATGTCCCATTTAAAAATAAATGGTCACTGGTTGGCTTTTTGCAGCATAAGTAAACTTTTAAAATCAAGAATGAAGTACAAAAGATATCATAAAGACAAAACTAGCTTATTGCAAAAGAGAATCATATCATTATAGAGAGAAGATGGAATGGCCAAAATGCCAGGTATTATGATCACGTTCTTTCAAAGATATTACGTACTATTGTCAGATATTTAACATATTTGTTTCCCGCTCTTTGTGGGAAGAAATGAGTAAGTCAGGCTCACAGTTTGAAGATAATTGGTAGAGATTCCTCAGAAGACAAGTGTCCTGGTAAGGTGAGTTTTAAATTAAGATCCTTAGTTGCCTACTGTCAGATACATCTGGGTGTTTAGAAATGTCCGCCTCTTCTGATGTTTGTAACTTTCTAACACTTGTCGGTGGTGCAGGATTTTAAACCTCTTTTAAATGAAAGTCAGCTAATTGACCATGGCTAGCTTCCTTTGTTTTTATACCATTTCCTGCATTCTTTGTGGTTTTATTAACTTATTTTCCAGGACTGCCATTTATGGAGTTTTTCTTCTTCCTTGTGCCCAATGTAATTCCTCTTGTTGCTGTCACCACTGTTTTCTGTTTTATCATACAAAGATGACTTCAATCAGATGTTGATACTATGTAAGGGGCATTGATCCAGTTCCTGTTGATTAGCTACCCTGGCATAAGTGCATTCATGTAAATCCAGCAGCAAATTGCAGCTAAGTTGCAACTTGTACTCCTCATTGTGCACCAATCCACATGATGGAGGATGCAAGTGATAAATTGTCAGCTAGTAACAATTCACTATTGTGCCTTTGGTTGATGTGTGTGTGCCAGAGTAAATAACCAATAAAATTCTGATTATTTGGTTTAACCAAAATAAACTTTTTTAAAAAATAGTTCTTGTTATTGTTATTGTTAAGTTCCTTTACAATAACTTTGTGGTTATTCAAATGCTGGCAAGAAGATGAAACAGCTGTCAGTTTATTCACTTCTTAATCCTAAATGGAGTAGGTCAATGACATTTATTTAAGGAGCCTGATGGCACAGTGGTTAAACTGGAGTACTTCAGCCAAAACTGCTGATGACCCAGGTTCAATCCCAGTTAGCCAGCTCATGGTTCACTCAGCGTTCCATCCTTCTGAGGTCAGTAAATTGAGTACCCAGCTCGCTGGAGAGGTAGGCAGCAATGTGTGATTTGCATTATTAAATTGTAAAGCACTTGGAGAACAGTAAATTGAGTACCCAGCTCGCTGGGGAGGTAGGCAGCAATGTGTAATTTGCATTATTAGATTGTAAAGCATTTAGAGAATGCTTTAAGTGCTGTGGGTCTGTATATAAGCAGCATGCTTTACATTTTTGCTTTGCTTTATATGAATGCTGATGTTAATAATTCCCACTTGTTCTTTCCACCATCTTCTGCCATCTTCCCATTTGCCTCTTCCTGTTTCTTTTCATTCTGCTGTTCATTTCTCTCTTTTTAAAAACACTTTTAATGTATCCCCCAATATTTGGACACAAATTTTGTGTCTCATGGACACTTTCATTTTGTTTAAACTTTTGTAAGCCCTTTACTACTCTGCCTGAGTTGGCACTTTTGATTTCGTCCTGTCTGTCTCTTTTTAGTTTATTCTGTGCTTCCTTTGTTCATCTATTACTATTGCTTCTGTTAAAGCTAAAGTTTTGCAGTAAGATCATGAAAATTTTACGCTGGGAATAGAATAGTTCAAATAAGCCAAACAGAAAAATACTGTATTCTGACTCTTTCATTTTGAAAGAATGGCTTTGAAATACGTGGCCTATTGTTTATTTGATTTCCTCCCATCAAATATAAAACATTCTACATAGTCATCATCCATTTTGTAAAAATGTTGCAGTGAATAAAAGCTAATGAAGTTTTGAAACAATGTATTTTTATGAGTGTCTTATTGGTGGTGTGCTGGTATCTTTTATGCAGGATGCTTTCTAAATACAATTGGAGTGTTTTGTTGCTTAGGGAGAGATAAACATGATCCAGGATTTGTATTTGGCATTGACATCATTATATATGGTATGTTTGGTGAGGGAGGGTGGCAGTAGATCATTACCTATATAATACACTGTGGCAGTAGTTTGAATTCTTTATAGCTTGAATCTTCAAAAACGTTAGCAATAACATAAATCCACCATAATCATCAGCAAGTTCAGAGGAGGACAAGAAGGATGCCCAGGAACTGGTAACCAAGCTCTATGAAGAAAGAGTGAAAGAGCTGGGCAAGTTTAGCCTTGAGAAAAGAAGACAGGGGAGATCTGATAGTTGTTGTTTAGTCATTAAGTTGTGACTTTTCATGACCCCATGGACCAGAGCACACCAGGCCCTCCTGTCTTCCACTGCCTCCCGGAGTTGGGTCAAATTCATGTTGGTCACTTCAGTGACACTGCCCAACCATCTCGTCCTCTGTCGTTGCCTTCTCCTCTTGCCTTCACTCTTTTCCAGGGAGTCTTCTCATGAGATGGTCAAAGTATTGGAGCCTCAGCTTCAGGATCTGTCCTTCCAGTGAGCATCTGATTAGCAGTTTTCAAATACTTTAAAGATATCTAGGAGGGGAAGAATCTCTTCTCAATCTTCCAGAATGCAGGTCACATAATAATGGGCTCAAGCTACAGGAAGGCAGATTTAGTCTGAATATCAGGAAAAGCTTCTTAACTGTTAAAGCAGTACAACAATGGAACCAATCACCCCAGGAGGTGTTGAGTTCTCCAGTGCTGAAGGCATTCAAGAGAAAACTGATATATTTTGATTTTGATTCCTGCAATTAGCAGGAGGTTGGACTCAATGGCCTTATAGGTCCTTCCAACTCAATTCTGTGATTCTAGTCAGCAAAAGAAAATGACTAGAAACACTGTGGATGTAATGCAGTGTACTTATATCTGTATGTTACATGAAAAAGTTTGCTCGCTGCCATTTAGATTAGGTATCCTTCAGTCTCAAGAGACTATGGTAACATGCTCTGAATAGAGGACTTGGAACAGTGTTTAGTGTGGCTGACAAGGCCAATTCGAGAGTGACAATCGCTTCCACACTGAAGACAAATACAATCTGTCCCCTGTCCAGCTCCCTGATTTTGCTGGTTTCAGGATTGCCATTACAGGAACAGTAATCTGGCAAGTCTTAAAGAAACGCATTCCAGACCCAATGGGCTTTGGCAACTGTTGCCCAGATAAAAGTATTCTGGATGGGGTGGGGGGTTCTCATCTGTATGATGGGACAACTGCAAACCATCTTGGAGAATTCTGAGTATGTAGACTTACTTCACTTTGGATTGTAGCCTTCTTAAGTGACTGAATTGTTTGATACTGGCTTTCCAGATGGACTATATTTATTGAGAATAAGAGACTATGACCCTTTTATCATCATCCTCATCTTAGGATGCATAGCTGGAACGGACTTTATGGATCATCAAGTCCAGCCTGTCAAGGAAGCACAGTTGGGAATCAAACTTCTAACCTCTGCTCATATTCAAGAGAATATTAGACATCTGTCAGATATACTTTAATTTCGATACCTGTATTGAACAGACTCAGTGGCTGTACTCAGTGGCATTATAGGCCCCTTCCAACTCTGTTGTTCTATGAGTCTGAAAATGCCATCAGTATGCTAATGACACACACAGTTTTGTCTCCCTGTGACATCTAAATCTGTTGTGGTTAAAGCCCAGGATTAATATCTAGATTGAATAACAAAATATAAAGGCTAGTAGACTAAAATTAAATTCAACAATACGGGAGCTATGTGGGTCAGTGGTTCTTGAATTTAGGACACAGGCTTATTATCTGTCATGGATGGGACTCCACTCTTACTGAAGGATCAGATTTGTAAATTGGAGGGTTCTGTCTTTGTCGTTGGGGACCTTGGTGGCAGCAGGGCTTTGAAGTAACATTTAGGAACTTCAGCTTGTATGTGAACTGCAGCCTCTCCTGGACAGGAAGCTCAGCCATAATGGTATAGATTCTAGCAACATGAACACTGGATTACTTTAATGTGCTATGTGCAAATGGCCTGGAAACTCAGTAAAGACATCCAGCTACTGCAGAATGCAGGCACTTCAGCTACTATGAGGGACAAAATGTTGGATAAAGAGCTGCCAAATGCTCTTAGCTACCAGTCAGGTTTAAGATGCTGTTTGTGTTTAAAGCTCCAAACAACTAGACAAGGTAAAAGTAAGCTTTCTTCCTCATCAACTTGCCAGGTCACTGAGCTCATCTGATAAAATGTTCCTCCAGCTTCAGCCTAATCCCAAGGCCCATTTAGAGATCACTCAAAGTAAAGATGCTAATGTATTAGTATTATTCAAAAATGCCAGGCACAGTAAATCAAATTTATAAAAACATTGATTGGTATTATATAACAGGTACAAGTTTTAACCAAAAACCTAAGTATCTCTTAAATATCAACACAGTATGTATGCCGTTCCTAATATTGCTGTTTTTTGTAGCTCTGATGGTGTGATTTCTGAGATCTGCAACTGGTTATAATACTGTGTGAAATTTCTTGGTATTGTTCCCAAAGTCCCAATGATGATGAGGACCGCTGAATTGTATTTCATCCACAATCTGGTTATTTTGATTGTCAGGTATTTTGTTAGTTCCCCCATATCTACCGTCATCATTATGATTATTATTTTAAAAATATTTTACCCCACCTTTCTCTTTAAAAAGGACCTAAGACAGCTTAGATCAGGGACGACTAACCTTTTTGGGCAGGTGGCAGTGGCAGTGGCGGTGGAACTGGAAGTGATGGCGGAAGGGACAATCCCGGGCATGGAGGTGCCTCGAGACCCCAGTCCAGATCCGCTGCCAGTACCAGCTGTGCCAGATCCTGGCCCGCTGCCTGTTAGGGCGCCAGCAACATGGCTCCAGCCGCCTCCTCAGATTTGGCTGCGGGGGGGAGTAGCGATCCAGCGATTTATGGCTCACGTGCCCACAGAGAGGGCTCTGCATGCCAGCTGTGGCACACGTGCCATAGGTTTGCCATCACTGGCTTAGATCATTGAAAGACCATAGTTAAAGCGAAGAATGAGGAGTATAAAAAGGCAGCTTACATCTCTAAAAGACAATGTTAAAGCTAAAAACAGTAAGTATACAAATATTAAAAAGGAACAAGTCTCATTCTGAGAAATGGTAAACACAGGTAGCACTAAAAACCCAGTCAAAGTAAAGTATGTATTATATGGAGAGTCCCTGCCAGTGAATGATAGGCATGGATCAACATTCCTTTGCATCTGACATCCGCTACAGGCATGTTAGCAGAATTGTTGAAATATGTTTTTATTTAAACAAGCATTCCTTGATTGAAACATGAGTCAGGAATTTATTATTACTACTGTGCACCAGCTGTGAGTACAATTAGCCGTGATATTTTCATTATTTTTATTTACATTTTGGATAGTTTTATTGCCCCACCTCCTGCTTGGGAATTTACCAGACGTAGATTGGTGCATAAATAAATAATCAAAACTGAGAATGTGCAGAAAAAAGAAGACAAGAGACAGATTTGTGTAGAATGTAATAGACGGCAATACTCTGAGACATTCAGGGACAGAGATTTTACATTAATGCCAGAAGTCTCTGAGCCTAGATAGCAGACTTGAAGGGCTTGGTTTTAAATGGCAGTACAGGGCAGAATAGAAGTCTGGTGCAACTGCGAGAGCAGTAGATATCAGGAAGGAACGACACTTGGCAGGTCTAGATGGCATCCCGCTGAGCATTCAAATATGGAATTGCTGACCTAACAAAATATATAAGATGTCCCAAAAATCATGATTTATGCAAGCAGTTGGTATGATGCCAGTTTTTACAACAGAATCTAGGGGAGATCCAAGCTTGTTAACTTAATGGAAAGTGTTAATAAAAACTGAATTATCAAACATCTAGAAATGTCTGTCTTGCTGAAAGAGAAGCAACATGGCTTCTAGACATGTCAAATTCCATTTCACTCACCTCCTGGACTTCTTAGAGAGTGTCAAAAAGCATTCGCAGCAGACCTTGTTCACTTTAGCTTTCTGAGCAAATGTACTTATCCTGAGGTGTGAGTGCAGGTTCTCTTACTGACTAGTAAGTGGTTCAGAAACCAAAAGCAGAAAAAAGAAATCCATGGTTATTATAACAGAATTTTTTTAAAAAGTGTTCCCTAACATTTATATTGGGATTGGTGCCTTTTAGTTGCGTTTATAAATAGTGTAGAGTTAAGGGAGAGCAGTGAGGTGACCAAGTGTGTTGACCACACCAGATTACATAGTGTGGACATCCTAGTCCACATTAGTCCTACTGTAATTCAAAGATGGAGGAAGGAAGTTGACTGCAGCACCCTCACATGGGGCGACTCTTGTAAGGTGAGCTAGGCGAATATGTGCACCTGCCCTGTGAGAGTCATAGAAGAAAGCGCTGTGCACAGTTTTCTAGTAACAACCCAGGCGGCCAAGGTATAACCTGAAACCAAGGCTGTGATGGTCACATGGGACCTATCAGATGCCTGCTAAACAGCTTAGCCAGTTGTAACTTCTGAGGATCATGCTTTGATTGGTCCTTATTACAATCCTTCCGGGTCTGCTATCTTTCTTTTATGAAAGTGCAGTCAGACAATGTTTTATCTCCCATTTTTGGACTGCTTTGGACACAGCCAGGTCCAATCTATTTTCTGATGACTACATGGTGATGGTTATCCTGCCCAACCTTCTCACTTGGCTACTTGCCCCTTTTTGGATCATTGATAGGCTACTCTTTTTTTAGCATGAGCAAGACTGGTCTGTTTTAGAGATGGGCATGAACCTCCGTTTGGAGGTTCTTGCCGGTTTGTACACACAACACTGCAGGTGTCACACATTCTCTTCCCCCCATCTCCCCAGCTAGATCCTTCACTCACTAGCCGGTATGCACTCCTCACCTCCTCTGCTTCGGCTGTTCCGCCAGTCTCCAGCAGGAGCACAAGCTTCCCTGCCCCGCCTTCTTGGCTGATTGCCCACTCAGACAAGGAGGCAAGACAGGCAAACCCATGCTCCTGCCAGGGATTGGTCAAAAAGCCAAAGAGGAGGAGGAGACGAGCATGCTCCAAATGGTGAGCGGGTAATTGGCCGGCGAGGCGGGGGAAGGGAACGTAGGGCACCATGGTCCGTGCCCATCTCTAGTCTGTTTTACTTCTATTTGTTTGTTTGTTTGTTTATGCCCTGCCCATCTAGACCAACGTCTACTCTGGGTGGCTAACAACACTCGAAGAATAATAAAATGAAATAAAACAACATTAATACAATTGAAGGTGGCAAAATAAATCAGGTATTGACAGAAGGGAAGGCCTACCTAAAGAGTCAGGTCTTGAGCTGGCTCTTTAAAACACCCAGCGAGGGAGCCAGACAAATTTCTGGGGGGAGATTGTTCCAGAGGCGAGGGGGCCAGTGCTGAGAAGGCCCGCTTTCTTGTTCGTTCTCTTCAGGCCCCCATCGGTGTTAGGCAACCGACCATCTTGACTAAAACGAGTGATTCAGGTAGAACTCGGTGGGAGGAGGTGTTCCACCAGATATTGAGGTCCTAAACCAATTTATATGTCATCATTAGTACTTTGAAATCAATGCTGAAATGAACGGACAGCTGATGCAAGGCAGCCAGAGTAGAGGAGATATGTTAATAATAAGTCTGGCCGCCACGTTCTGCACCATTTGAAGCTTCTGTATCAGTCTGAAAGATAGCCCCACATAGAGCACATTGCAGTAGTCTAATCTCGAGATTTCAGGCACATGGACCAGAGTGGTGAGGCCCCCACATCAAGATAGGAATGGAGCTGGGCAATCTGCTGAAGATAGAAGTAGGTGGTGCGGACCACTGACGCTACCTGGGCTTCCATGCTAAGCACCGGATCCAGGTGGACTCCCAAGCTGCAAACCCCACTCTTCATGGTAAGAATCACCCCTCAAAGGAGGGAGTTTCCCAAACCACCAATGTCAGGGCCAACCACCCTCATGACCTCCGTCTTGTCTGGGTTCAGCCTCAGACTAATCACCTGCATTCATTTCAATACAGCCTCCAGACAGCGTTGAAGGGACAAAACGGCATCCACTGTTGTTGGAGAAAAGGAGAAGTAGAGCTGCGTGTCATGAGCATTCTGATGACACGAAGCCCCACGCCCCCTGATGACCTGACCCAGCAACATCATGTAGATCTTAAACAGCATTGGGGAGATAATTGAGCCCTGAAGAACCTCACAATTAAGATTCCACGGAGCCGATACACTCTCCCCAAGCTGTACTCTCTGGGGACGGTCCTCCAAGAAGGGTTTCTGGCACACATGATTGCTGGAACAGAACCATAGCAGCACTAGTAGGTTTTCCCCCAGTTATTCAGTGCTATGGCATTTGGGTGGCAAGTCAATGAACTTCCCATTTGCCAGTAAACGGGAAGAACAAATCCAACTTCTCTGCTCTCATGGAGAAGGAAACAGAATTGGAGACAAAACAACAACAACAAACCCAGTCCAGCACTGTATCACTGCAGTGACAAGCCAATGCTATTCCTGGCTAAATTCAAGGTGTTGGTTTCAACATACATAAGGGCTTCAATTGCTTGGGCCTAAACTATCTCCCGGAGTGTGTCTTCATTTATGAGCCTGTCAGAGTGTTAAGATGATTAGGAAAGGCCTTTTTCCCCAGTCCTGCCACCTTCACAGGTGTGTTTGGTGGGGACATGGGAGACAGCCTTCTCTGTTGCTGCTACCAGACTTTGGAACTCCCTCCCACAGGAGACCAGGCTGTCCAGCAAGCAGGCAAAGAACTTTCTCTTCAGGCATGCTTTCCCTTAATGACGGGCTGTCTGAGTGGTGTTCTTAAATGGACGGTTACTGCTTTGAATATGTTTTGGTCTTGCTTTTCTTTACTGTTTTTAAATATACTTGTTTGATCTTTTTTAGTATTTGTATATTCACTGTTATTAGCTTTAATATTGTCTTTTAATGATGAAAGCCACCTTAGGTCTTTTTTAAAGAGAAAGGCAGGGTAAAAATAATTTAAATAAATCAATCACTTAATAGTTTTTTTAAAAAAATCCTTCTTTCCTCCATGAGACATGGGGGCTGAAAGGCAGGAACTGGCTAAAAAAGGCTGCTCTAAGGTGCAGCATGGTGTCCCATCCCGAAAACACCCAAACTTTGTATCCACATGCAAGGATCATCCTAAATGTCAGAGTGAACTTTCAAGCAACCCAGTTTAGTCCATTCTAGCCTGTGTTAACTTCACTGTCTAGTCACACCCAGAGTCACTGGTAGGAAGGAAATTCTTTCTGTGCTGAACAAACAAACAGCAGATGACCATCTCTGCACATGATCACAGTCACCGCATAGTGAACTCAATTAAACACAGGGCATTTTTTTTAACCAGTTGTGGACTTCTTTTTCAATTATTTTAAGATCTTTGAAACTTCTCCTCCCCCTTTCTGAAACAAAAGCCTTTTAAAGACCCTCCTACTACATAATTGTGTTCCACTCCAGCTTGTATGCTGTGTATGACAAAACAGTAAGAGAGCCAGCTGTTTGGGGTTTAAAGGAAATAAACTGACTTTCTTAGCTTCCTTCTCCCAAATCCTCCAAAAATCTCACAGGACACAAAACAGATCCAGCAGACTACACATATTTCCCCCTGGATTCCTTGTTTTTCTGAAAAGGTCCAAAAACCTTCACCTTTCTTTTGATACCACAGTGTCAGTAGAGACAACTGGCAGGGAAAATGTGAGTATTTTACTACTTATCTTTCTTTAATTAGTTACTTACAATGTGATTCACAACTTTATCGATTGATCTCTTTATCTACTGCTGCCATTATGGAATATAAAAGTTAATTGATTTTGATCCTGCTGTCCTACTCACAAATCTGTGAGCTAAGGTTTTGCACAAGAATTTGTCCATTTTAAAATGGACAGTTGAAACTTTATACCATACTGTATTTATATCTGGTATGTTGTGCTGTGCAATGTTCTTGCTTGTAACTATATATATATATTAAAATCCATATTCAGTTTTATGGTTGTAACATGAAGGCACTTGCTTTTGCTTTCTGTAAATTTAATTAAGCAAAATTGGCAAATTCATTTACTTCTGTCAAAAGGGACCCAGGAAATTACTTTATTGTGATCTTCTGGTGGAATTATTCTTGCTTCATTGAACTGACTTATATTTTCATTCCACATGTCTGATATATCCATATTCTATACAGATTTGCTTTAGTGAGGCTTACTCCTGGATAATTTGTGTTGGAATACAGTTCAAATGCTCTCTTATCAATTAAGATTATTTATGGGCTTAATGTGTTTTTGGTTCCATCTAGATTAGACTGATTTAATGAATGAGTGTTTAGTCAACACTTATATAAGTCCCTTTAAATCATTAGGCCAGCTCCAGCTGAGACTAACAGTTGGCTTTAGCCCTGTGTATTTAGGTATCCATTCATTTAATACATCAATGTCATAAGAAACATGCTTACTTGGAACAAATGTGTATTATGATACATGGCATTTAATTCAACACACCGCTTGGAAATGTCCCCCTTATTTTCAGCTGCCCTGCTGGCTGGGTGATTCCAGTCCAAGACAGGAGTCTTTCCAAACTCAGATATGTGGCCACAACTGGGAAGCTGATCGGATTTCTAGCACTTTGAGAAAAGCTGTGTTTGGTTTTCTTCTCAAGAAATTCTTTGTTCTTGACGTTGTCCAAGTTTAAAGTGGTGCACTTTGTCCATAGTGGCTTCTGTTGTCTTTTCCCCCCTGCTTCCTTGGCTTGTAAAAAGATTTCAGTCAAGCAATAGCACCCGTAGTGAGTATTTCAGTATTTGTGATCTAGCAGTCAAGGCAGGATGCTTAGCTACACGGCAGTTGTGTGCCAGTTATTCCACTGGTTGCCCAAATAGTTTGCAGTGCTTTGAAGCTTTGTTGTGCCATGCCTACGACTTGCATGGTGAATGCATATAATCATTAACCCATGGCCAAACCATTGCTTATTTGTTGCAGCTGTATTGGGTCTGTCCCCTCAAATGTCTGTTGGTTATGTGAGGTTATGTGTCATGGCCACATAGTAGGGTGCACCTGACTGAACGCAGGATCAAGCCTTTCTTCATGCAACCTGTTGGGGGAAGCCACAGATGCTTTTCCATTTCCATCTCCTGGCACCTGCTTCCTTTTCTTATGCCAGAATAGTTGGAGGGGGTGTCGTTCCATACAGTTCCATAAGAAGATAAAAATTTATTTTTTGAAAAAAAAAAGTCTTAAGAAACCGGCAGATGCAAAAGACTACTTTAAAGTGGCAAACATTTTAAAAGCAGGTCAGTCTATGGCATTCTTTCTGTGAGCACTGTTTAAAAAGATGGAGAGGACAGATAACTAGGGCTGTGCATGAGAAAAGTGGACCCCGGGCCACTTTTATTTTAATAATAATAATCTTAGCTGCTAAGCTGGAAGGGACCCTATGGATCATCAAATCCAGCCCCTCCCTGTCAAGGAGGTGCTGTGGGGAATCAAACTCCCAACCTCTGGATCCACAGCCAGAAACCTAAACCACTGATCTCTCCAACATTTCTTATTTTTGTTCGGATTACAATTACATCTCATTTCTCTTCTATCAGAGCACAAGGTTTCTCCACCAGTCTCCGCTCCAAACACACGTGAGACGGAGACCTGTTTACCTTTGACATGGTGCTGTTCCCCTCCCCCATCTGCAGATATCTTCAGAACAGAATCCTGAAATCATTATACTTTGTTTTAATTGTTCGGTATTAATAGAACCTTATGTTGATACATAATGCCATTTGAGGCTTTTTTTAAAAAATGGACTTTACTGTCCATTTAAAAACCGCATGGGAGCACTTTTTCAGACCCAAAGTGTGTGTAAGAAAAGTTGTATGTAACTTAGAGGGTGAGGCTCAGTAAAAGGCACAATCCCAGGGAGCAGAACCTCGTGTAAGCTTCAGAGTTGTTGTTCTCTGGTTCTGCAGACAGAATTCTGCAAATGCCCAACAGTTATCTAGAGTGGGGAAGTCCACACATAAAACTACAATCCTGGACCCGGGGGCGGGGGGGGTAACAAGCCATGTGGTCCTTTCACAATACAAAGGAAAGAGCAGGCAATGCCTTTATTGGACCAATAAAACACTGAGCAAATAGTTAGCTTTCAAACGAAAATAGTCTTCATCAGGTTGTGCACCAATATATTGTGTAGAAACCATTATATATAATGGAGGTCCAACTATTCTTGGTTTCAGTTAAAGATATATCTATCAGAGAAGAATTTGTATATAGAGATCTGGAAGTTTCTGCAGGATGAAAAGGACATTTTTGTTCTAAAATACAGGTGGGATGCGTTCTGCTTAGGATTCCAGTCACTGTATACTCTTCATAGTATTCAATACCCACTGAGCATGCTCAGATCTTTCGAGTTGTTTTCAAGAGGAAAAATTCTGCCTTGAGAATTCCCCACCCCTCAATAGATGTTCTGTACTTTTGCAAACTTGCACACTTCCTCCAAGACTGCTGATATCTCCCTTTTGTGACTTTTTTGCTTCTGAATAAGAACCAGCACTCGCAAAACAGAGTGTTCTGTAGCATTGCACATAGTGCTACATAGGATATTGCATTTACAGTATAATGCAATGCATTGCATATATGATGCTTACAGGAGTTGGATTTCCCAGGTGCATCTACTACAATGAGTTTTTGCCTGTGAAATTTTAGTGCCCCCTCCAAAAAAAAGTATTTAATTTATATCTCTCCCTTCCTTATGAGAGTCCAGAGCTTTGTCACAGTGGCAAATTGCCACTAACCTATGTGATTCCATTCTGTCCACATATCACCAACAGGTTTCAGGTAAATTAAGATCACGAATTAGAAACATCAAAAACCACAAATTACATATCTGCAAAATCACCAGCCTAGGATGACATATTACATACATCTAAAATGATGAAAACCTAAACCCATAGATTGCGTGTCCACTAAAAATGTACTAGAAGTGCTACAAACAAGAAACAAAGTCCAAATGAATACTTGTTTATGCTATGAAAGCTTGTAACACAGCTTATACAACTACAACTAATACAATTCTGAAAACAGCGAAACAAAAAATACCATAATCTTTTAAAATATTGGCTGAAATCCTCTTGTGTAAGTTGCACTGGTGTATGGCAAATGACATCACTTGCAGCAGCAGATTGCCACTAATTAAAGAGTCCCTGGTTCAATTCCTCATTGCTTAAATGTAATCTCATTGCATGTGAGTTGCATGATTTTGCGTACATCCTAGAACTAAAGTGATAACTTTTTATTTAATGCATGAATTAATGCTAATTCATGCAAGACACCAAAAGGTCTGCTGCTGTAGCTGACATCATTTCCCATATGCTGAAATAATGTAACACAAGAAAATTTGGGAGTAATATATGAGCTGATCTTAGATAGAGATTAAATCTCATTACTGAAGAACATTTTATAAAATGCTCTTTAACTTCTTCAATGTACTTTTTCTTATTTTTTAAACTAAAAAATAAATCCTGGCAGAACTATGAAACAGTGTTATGTTACATTGGTGCTGATGCTCAACAATCTTTTCTTCTTCTTCTCTTTTCCCCCTTCATTTTTAAAGCAATGTGTTGTCATCCCTTGATCTTTATATATTTACGATGAGACAACCATTTCTGAATCTCTAGCTTGTTCCCATCTGGTGTTTATTCTCCTCTCTTTCTTCATTTTGGATGATGACTTGACATTTTTCAAGATCTTGTTTCAAAGCTGACTGGTGCAAACTTCTCAATAAATCTTTCATCACGTTGCTAATAATGCTGCCATTCCATTTCCCTTTGCCACCACACCAGCCAGTCTGATTAATATTGCTTATCTGGAAAAATATAAAGAAAATGTTGAATCTGAAATAAGAGGGAAGAAGAAATTTAATTTGATCAACAACACTTCCTGATCATCAGTGATGGTTTTGTCAATAGCCTCAAAGAGACAAACCTCACCGGTGGAAGGGGCAGCGTTCACTGCCTCCCCTCTCCCTCCACCCACCAACATAGCAAGGTCCCTGCAACCACCATGCTTGCCATAGCTGTTTTCTCACTGCTAGCCTCTTAAGAGTTCTCATAATCGGACCATTTAAGAACTGTGGTCTCCTAGCCTGCAACCATATAAATGTCACTCTCCAGAAGCTTTACTCCATGGATCTGGTGAAATGGATTGTAGGCAAGGAACTCATGCCAAACAAAACCTGTGAGTCTTTTAGATGAGGCTCTCTGTTGTTTTTGTTGCCACAGAGAATGTGTATGCAGAATTCCTATGATACCCAGACATTATTAGATGATTCTTCAAGATTCCTCAGTTAGAACTACCAGTAATTTCACAAGTGGGGATAATAAAGTGAAGCTTCTTGTACCACATGACTGATGTTTCTCAGTTTTGCTGTACAACTGTACTAAGGTTTCTTCGGGACTGCACAGATCTCTAACATAATGCATCTCCAGATGGTTAGCTGTGTAGCCTGGTGTTCTCTCAAATGGTGGATTATCTCCAGCATCCAGTTGGGGAGCTTGGTGCAAACTGTTCTGCATCTCTTATCAGTAACAGACACATGAAGAGAAAGACATGGATTTTCTCAGTACTTCAATCACTGCCTTGTGGGTGTTAGTGTTTATTATCTTTGCGCATAGAACATCTTGTTTTAAAAACCACGTTCTTAATGAAATTGATCTG